TTTATTTCTATCAAATTATTTTTTTACGAATGCGGTAAAACAAATTAAATTCATGTAATGACAGCATGTAATTTTAAACTGTATATTTGATGTTTTATAAGTTATCGCGCTTAAAATGTCCAATTTATATTCGGAAGAGAATGAAATATGTTCCATTGGAATGAGTATGCAACCCTCCGATAGTGTATCGTCAGGTAAGTACTGTCTTATTGTATAGAATCTCAGAGAAATAATATTAATACAGAAATTTGCTGTATAAAATGAAGGAATAGTTTTTCCAAGTTGGAATAGGGATTGGGACTCTTAATTGTCATTTTTAATCTAATTCAAAACAACTATCTCCGAATTTTAAAAAATGTCCCATATGATGCGGATTTCTATCTATATAAGAATCCGAATTAATGATGTAGATATCAGATTAACAGTGCAAACTGTATGCACACATATTATCTGTACTAATGAATAAAAAACTGTGTGGGTTTTCATATATCACGTTTCCTCATCATTACGCAAGCTGCACACCTATGTTTGTATTAATTATTCATATTAATAGCAAATCGATAGAGTCAATAGTGTGATGTACACCACGCGGAAAATGTATTACAATGTATCGAGGTAATAAAATACCCACATATCGGGTTTCCAATCCTAATTAAATTGTTTGTTTTTAATCCATTACGAAGTGTGATATAATTAGGTGTGTTTAGCTCTAATTAATTACCAATTGATAATGATACTGCGTTATTAAAGAATTATTTTTATGATGTCTTTTTAAGCTTGTGGCCATTGCTTAGGGACATGTGTATCTGCTTGCTGCACGAGAATACTTGCTTCGGTTTCCAGCTGGTAGGGTCGCATTATTTATTTAAACATAAATAGTTATTTATAAAAATAGAGAGGCAAGACGCCACCTCAAGGAAGACAATATATCATAGAGGTATAATAGGTCTACCAATAAATCTAACTAGTCAGATGACACCACAGATAAATAAAAAAGCAATGACAATTGTTTTGTTAGCCATTAGTTAAATGACCATTGCTTTATAATAAATAAAAATACAATAATAAATTAAATCTCGAAAACAGTGATGATTGTTTTTAATATTTAATTTTTTATTGTACATATTTTTGAATTTACCGCCCCACGTTGGGCGCCAAAATATAAACAACCCGAAACGCCCCACGTCGGGCGCCAAAATATAAACAACCCTTAACGCCCCACGTCGCACACACGGCAAAATGCTATATTTAGCTTGACAAAAATTCAGTTTAATTTATTTTTCGTTTGTTTATCCAAACAGTGTCTTTTTTATTACATTTGTAGGGCTTATTTTAAATATTATAAATTTTTCCATTCAACTAGAGTAGTGCAAGCGTTACCGAGTATTAATGAAGTTCGAATTTTTTGTGAAGTGAAAACGATTGTCATTTACACCCAGCACAGCAATTTGAATTTTTTTCTACTGTCAATAATATATGAAAAAAACTCGTAATAAACTTAGAAATTCATAATTTAGAATATATCTCTTCTTAAAACTAAAAAATATATTATAAATTAATAATAAATATAAAACTAAAAAATATATTATGTATAGAAATCAGTGCGACACCCTGCAAATAAAGGGGCTATTTCAAAAAAAGGGCAAATTTGGAAAAGCTGATTTTTTTATACCTGTATCAACATACATTAGTGATTTTAATTTTATTTAATTAAAAGCTGAACTCCGTGGAACTTATAACTATTACCCATTATGAAAACAAAATTGTAAAAAAATAAACCCAAAATAGTGCGTTTAAAATATATTTTATCTACATTCAATACTATTTTATCTACAACAAAAATCCTTTATGGGTATTTCGCCTCTGCACTGCAAGAAAAATCTACAAAATAAAATGATTATTTTTTGTAGACACTTCTGCGTTAAACCTATGCTTGTCAGAAGTTATGTTTACAGTAATAAAAATTTGCCTAACAAAGAAAAAAATGCTTAACGTTTCGGAAAGTCTATCTCTTTCCGTCGTCGGAAGCAAAAAAAATACAAAGAATAAAGAAAAAAATTATTTAAAATATTTAAATTCAAACTATTATGAGAACACTATGTATCTGCTTTCAACAACTAAAGTGTTCTCATAATAGTTTGAATTTAGATATTTTAAATAGTTTTTTTCATTATTCTTTGTTTTTTTTTGCTTCCGACGACGGAAAGAGATAGACTTTCAGAAACGTTAAGCATTTTTTTCTTTGTTAGGCAATTTTTTATTACTGTAAACATAACTTCTGACAAGCAGTGTCCATTTAGGTTTAACGCAGAAGTGTTTACAAAAAGTAATTATTTTATTTTGTAGATTTTTCTTGCAGTGCAGTGGCGAAATACCAATAAAGGATTTTTTTGGAGAGATTTAAAATAGGTCCACAAATTTTATAAGAACGGCAGTGAGTGGATGAACATGCGAAAAAAATATTTGTAATTTCGATTTTTGTCGAGCTAAACATAGCATTTTGCCGTGTGTGCGTCGGGCACTAAAAAAAGTAATATTTGTAATTAACTAAATATTTGTTTGTTAAAGAGAAATAAGTATGGCCCGTAAATGTGTCACAATTGTTTCTGCTCAAACATTAACTGATCTCATCAATTCCAAACTGTTTTTAATGAAAAAAAAGTCTTAAATGTTTTTAATTAAAGGTTTGTTATACAGGGTGTTTCAAAACAAATGCGAAAAAAATCAGGGGGTGATTCCTTGTTCAAAATAAAGGGTAGTTTGCTTCATAAATGTTGGGTCAAAAGTCAACCATTAGGAAGATATTGCGGTACAAAGATGGCGGAAAAATAATGTTTTTATTTTTTAACTTGAAAACGAAAAGAGATAGACTAATAAAATTTTATGGAAGCATTACTGTTATGAAAACACACTTTCTGGTAATTTTTTCGCTTTTTTAAAATGAGTGGAAGGGGTTGAAATAAACTACCCCTATCATTCTTGTTAACGAAATTTAAAGAAAAATCTTATCAAATACATGCAAAAACATTAATTTGGATAGTTTAGTTTATTTAGAAACTTTTTTATCTCTTGTATTTTTTTGATAAAACTCACCGATTTGAAATTAAAAAATAAAATGTAAAGCATTACATGTCAGGACAAAAAACATTTTCTGATAAAGAATCTAGTGGGCTGCTGTAATTTTTTTAGGAAAAAATCTAGTCGGCCGCTGTTACTTTTAGGATGTTCCTAATATTATTTTATTTGACATTACTCTACTGCAATACGTTATTATCTAGATGATTATTATTATCGTTATTATCACTAGATTCTTAATCTAAAAATGTTTTTTGTCCTGACATGTAATGTTTTAAATTTTATTTTTTAATTTCCAATCGGTGAGTTTTATCAAAAAAACACAAGAGGTAAAAAAGTTTCTAAACAAACTAAACTATCCAAATTAAAGCATTTGCATGTGTTTGATAAGATTTTTCTTTAAATTTCGTTAACAAGAATGATAGGGGTAGTTTATTTCAACCCCTTCCACTCATTTTAAAAAAGTAAGAAAATTACCTGAAAGTGTGTTTTCATAACAGTAATGCTTCCATAAAATTTCATTAGTCTATCTCTTTTCGTTTTCAAGATAAAAAATAAAAACAATATTTTTCCACCATCTTTGTACCGCGATATCTCCCTAATGGTTGACTTTTGATCCAACGTTTATAAAGCAAACTACCCTTTATTTTGAACAAGGAATCACCCCCTAAAGTTTTTCGCATTTGTTTTGAAACACCCTGTATATTATATATTTTTATAGCCAAAATAATAACACTGTCACTGAAATAAATCTTCTTGGATTGCTTTAAAATGTTTTTGACAAGTTTGTACCCAAACGGTTTAGTAAGGTCTTTATGGCGAAATGACGAGTGGCACTTTACGTTTAAACTGAGAGGGAAATTATTCCAAGCTTCTGCTTTTGTTGACGTCAAACGAATGACGGCATTTTCTATAAAAAATGTTTTTCCAGGGTCGAAAGCGTTCTGTTAGACTGTCAGACCGAATATCGTTTTCAAAATGGCGATTTAATTTGCGTTGATTTTATTTACACTGCGATAGAAAATTGTATTGCAGATTTATCTATTTTAATTAAATTTGATTGATGAAGTAATTTAGCCTTGCGAAGACGTAATGTTTCCAAATTACAGAGTATTAAAGGATATTTAATTTTTCCCATTATACTTCAAATAAAATTTCAATTTAAAAACTTCAATCTTTTTTAATTTTACTTTACAATTGAGGCGTCAAGTTGCAAAACCCGCCTTATCCATTTAAAAAAAATGGCCTAATGATACATTAATAGTGGACCCTAAAATCTACATAAACATAGTCCCAAACTGCAGAAAAAGTCCCCTATTTCTAAATAGAAATCACTACAAATTACGTTACACTTATATTGGCTTTTTATTGTCATTGAATCTTGTGTAAGTATTTGTATTATTGTTACAAATCCTGCATTTTTTCATAAGCTTTTTTACACAAGTATAACATTACTACTGTCTTTTCAAATCCTTACTTAATTTTAATAAAATAGTATATTTAGTATACCCAGTTAGCTAGGAAATGACGATCGATGACATTTCCTATATAAATTTACATATAAAATGACAGCGTTCTTCATTTCATAGCAATCGTTGACGCCGTTTTTTCTTCATCATATTGTATCAAAACTCGCAATATGCATCATACTGCAACAAAACCAGCCTTATCCAAATTATTTTTGCGTTTTTTTCTCATTAAAAATTAAATATTAATTTTTATTTCTACAAAAACCAGATACAAAAAAATTATTCCACTTAATGGACAGGCTTTTTGTAAAATAACGCTTCAAACATTTGCTAAAACAGTTTTTGCTTATTATCTCGAAACAACGTTTTTGGGATAAGGCGAATTTTGCAATTTGACGCCTTATTATCACTTTTAGGAATATTATATAATATTTAAATTATTCTATTCTTTTCTAGGCATTTCCCTGTTTACTCAACCCGAGGAACTTCCAGAGTTGCCGGCTCTCGACGAGCAGCGGTTACGGGAAGCTGCGGCAGCGTTGCAACAGCGCCTGGTTCTACGTCACTGGTTGACCAGGCACGGGCTGCAATCCTATTTGCAGAGGTTGCTGTCGGTGGGCGTGGCCAGGTTGGAGGATGCCTATTGGCTGGAGGACAGTAAAGCTAAACAAGTAGGTTTGGTTTGGTTTGGTTTGGTTGAGAGACTACCTATTAAAGTATTATAAACAAACTAGCGTGTACCAGCGACTTCGTTCGCGTCGAATTAATCATTTGTAATGGTGATGATAAAGCAAAGCAAGAATTTCCTTTAACATACAAACTGGATAAAATTTAACAATATGGCGATATTATTATATAACTTGGTAATATTTGAGGGGTAGTTCCATCTTGTTGGAATTTGACTTTCGAAAAATCCGTTTGCCAAAAATAAGCTATATATATATATTTTTACGTCAAGCAGTTTAAGCAGAATCGTGGTTAAGAAATTACCCAACTTTTTGGAACACCCTGTATGATTTTTTAAATAATTTCAAAATATGTAAAAAAAAACAAATAAATTTCGCGTGTCCAAGCGTTTTCCCGAAAGACTAACCGTTTTTTAAATAACAAATATTGTAATATTTGAGGGGCGTTTTTACCCTCTTGGAATTTGAGATTCGAGAAACCCCTCCTTATCGAACCTCTACACCCCACAGTCAATCCGTTTGCCAAAAATCAGCTTTAAACGTCAAGCAGTTTAAGCAGAATCGTGATTACTCAATGGTCATATTTTATGAAACACCCTGTATAAATTTATAAATAATATTTTAATATTTGAGGGATAGGTTCACCCCCTTAGAATTCGAGTTTCGAAAAATCCCTTCTTATCGAACCTCTACACCCTAAAGTCAATCTGTTTTTCGAAAATCAGCTTTTTACGTCAAGCGCTTTAAGCAGGATTGTGATTAATCAATGATCAGATTTTTCGAAACACCCTGTATACATTTTTAAAAAATTTTAAAATATGTAAAAAAAGAAAATAAAATATACGTGTTTAAGCGTTTTTTCGGAAACTTGACCGTTTTTTAAATAAAAAATATTGTAATATTTGAGGGGTGGTTTCACCCTCTTGGAACTGGAATTTCGAAAAAGCCCTTCTTATCGAACCTCTACACCCTAGAATCAACCCCTATGCCAAAATTGAGCTTCTTACGTTGAGTGGTTTGAGCAGGATTGTGATTAATCAGTATGTCAGTCACTTAAGGATTTTATATATTAGTATAGATCTGTAAAAAATGTTTATGCCTCTGTGGCGGATTCATCCCTTCAAAAAAATTCTCTGGGTATTTCGCCACTTGCACTGTTAGAAATTTTACAATATAAAATAGTTATTTTTCGATTGAAAATTGGAACTCGCCAAAATTATTATCGGTTGTCATTCCCAGCTGTTTTTTTTTTCGATTATACGGTATATTAATTCAAAGCAACGCTATACCTAATGACTATGCGGATTTTTAGTTAGCTTAAAAAGTTAGCTTAATAGCTAAGTTAGGTTAAAAAATAAATGTGACATTCTGTAAAACATTTACATAACATATTCGTTTTAATCGGAGTACTGTTTGAGCCTGAACTAATTCCATATACAAACTTGACGAAATATTGTCGCATTGCTACAAACATGTCCCATGTTTTTGGCAACGTACCTAAATGTCCCGGAAGGACAGATCCATATTTCAAATTGTATTTATGTTTACGTAAATAACAAAAATTCTTCAGTCCACATAAATCTTTCAGATACAAAAATATTATTTATTTAATTAATTTATTTGCAAAAGATTACTGTAAGACATTTTGCTAATAATGACTAAAATAATAATAACTAATAAAAATTTATCTTATTTATAATTTTTGCATTCTATTCTAATATAAAAATCTATTCTATACCGTGTGTCCCATAAATGGTGACAAATCTTGAAAAATCGCGCAAAATTACAAATAATCTTTATGTTCTTTAATTCGAACATTTAACTGACTAGATGTTTCATCAACATAAAACTCACACTCAGTGGTATTTTGTATATCACATTTTTCGTTTGTTATTCGGTGTTCATTGGATTAGTACAGATCAAAATAATGTGTATTTTGTGTTTTAAAGTATGTTCGTATGTTAATATCATTTTCCTATCATTATTTTTTACTTTGTACAGGGTGTCCCACTAAGAATAGCTCTCGGCTGTATCTCGGAAAGTATTAGCCGTAGGGGCTGCGGAAAAAATATTTATAACTAAAGAGCTAGGGAGCTCTCTCTCTCTTTGGTCCGTTTCTCTGAAGAGGGATTAGTGACTATGATGTTCCTGTAGCGGTTTTTATCGTATTGTGCCAGTCCGCTCTGTTTTGAGCCATGCTGACGGTTTCATGAAGGCCTTGGCCGATTAGGTCTTTAGTTTGATCAACCCATCTCTTGGGTGATCTTCCTCGTGGTCGCTTTCCCTCTACCTTTCCCTCGACTATTAGCAGCTGCAGTGAGTCCGTTCTTCTAGCAATGTGACCAATATATGTCAGAAAACATCGGTTTATTTTTTTGAGAGGCTGAGTTGTGAGTTTAGTTCTTGGAGAACTCACTCATTCGTACGATGGGCTGTCCAAGGTATACGTAGCAGACGTCTATATGCCCACATTTCAAAAGCATCTATTCGCCTGGTATCGCTTTTCTTCAGCGTCCATGTTTCCGCCTCATACGTAGCAATCGGGAAAACAAGCGAGTTCAGCAGTCTTAGTTTGGTGTTCTTAGTGATGGCTGTATCTTTCCATATCTTTGTTAATTTAGTTACGGCTGTTCTAGCCAGCGCAATTCTACGTCTTATTTCGCCTTCGCATGAGCCGCTGTTGTCGATTAGCGATCCCAGATATAAGTATTTATTAACCACCTTAAATCCAGCTATGTTTCCCACGTGAGGTTGGTTGTTGTTTTGTCGGTCCACAATCATGACAGTAGTTTTGTTAGGATTAAGTTTTAGCCCAAATTCTGTACTAGTTTCTTGGAGACGTTGCATAATAAATTCCATTTCTTCCACACTTGATGTTATGATTAGTGTATCGTCGGCATATCTTAGATTATTGATTTTCCTTCCCCCCACAGATACTCCACCTTGCCAGTTATCGAGAATATCACGCATTATGTACTCGGTATAAATATTGAACAATAGGGGTGAGAGAACACACCCCTGCCTGACACCCTTCATTGCTTGAAATCTATTTGATGTGACATCATTAATTCTTATAAGTCCGTAATTATGTTGGTATAGTTGTCGGATAAGTAGAATAAGGTGATCAGGAACCCCCATTTCCTTGAGTATTTGCCAAAGTTTTTGCCACTTGACTAGATCGAAGGCCTTAGAATAGTCGATAAAACAGAGATACATTTCTATGTTGAATTCTCGCGCTTTTTCTATTAACTGTCGTACGTTCCCTATCTGTTCTCTGGTACCCTTACCAGGCATAAAGCCAGTTTGTTCTTCTGCAATCTGTGGTAGTAGATATGGCCTGAGTCTGTTGTTAATAATCTGCAGGAGAATTTTGCATGCATGAGGAATTAAAGCAATCATTCGATAGTTATTGCAGTCTGCCGGATTACCCTTTTTATATAGTGGTATATATAGCGAGCTGCACCAGTCGTCTGGCCAAATTCCCGTCTTCCAAATCAGATTGCATATGAAATGAATAACATAGCTAGGGAGCTAGCTATGGGAAATTGCTGAAAATTATAGAAAGACCGCTAGGGGGCGCAACTGCAACAAAAAATAAGAAAATTGAGTTTTTACACAATTTTGCCTAGATACGGTGTGCTATAAGTAATAGCTTGATAATCTCCAGTAAATTTTGAATATTTTTTGTTAAAGCCATTTTCCCCTATCTACCAAAATAAAGTGGTGGGGGAAGGTTAGATCTATTTTTATTTAAATATTAATAACTCTGGACTGAATGATCGGAACACAACAAGCGAGGGCTCGTTTAAAAGAGCGTTTCTTACTCTATATTGTACCATATAAACAATAATAATAAGCTTTTGAACGTAGACGCTAGGGGGCGTTGTCTTACAATTTAACAAACATTGCGCGTTTTTTTAAAAGCTTAAAAAGTCAGCGAAAACCGCATTTTGATATCTTCTTTCAAACCGAAGATATTAGCAAAATTATAATAAATACCAAAAAATAAGCCCTTAATTACCTTATTTTTACAACACGGTATCAGTAGCTCTCTTAATTATGCCCATTCTAACAAAAAATAAGATAGAAACAGTTAGCTTATTTTAAAATCGACGAAATACCAGAATACCATAATACCAGATGTATTAATGTCTAATAATTAAGATATTAATAACAGTGAACCAGAAACGATGATTCAGTGAAGTCATGGTAGGCTTTGGAAAAAAGTTGCTTTTGACGTAATAGTATAAACGTCAAATTGTTATTAGATCAACATTTTGATAGTCTTATCAGCGTTTTTTATCTTTGATTTGCTTTTTCAAAATGCCAACAACTTCAACTATTTCAAATAATAAAGGACTATCAGTTATTAATATTTAAATAAAAACAGATCTAACCTTCCCCCACCACCTTATTTTGGTAAATAGGGGAAAATGGCTTTAACAAAAAATATTCAAAATTTACCGAAGATTATGAAGCTATTACTTATAGTACACCTTATCTAGGCAAAATTATGTAAAAACTCCATTTTCATAAATTTTATTGCAGTTGCGCCCCCTAGCGGTCGTTCTACAAACTTGAAAATAATTTCCAGCAATTTCTCAAAGCCCCTTTAGTTATAAATATTTTTTTCCGTAAACCCTACGGCTAATACTTTCCGAGATACAGTCGAGAGCTATTCTTAGTGGGACACCCGGTACTTCAATTTATGTATTTTTTGTTTCTCTATAAATAAGAACTTAATATCAACTATATTTCTTTAAGGTTTTCAACAAAGATATAACAGAATGGTCAGCGGCCCGACATTCTTTGCCTACTTCCAAGCCTCAACTAGATAGCCTTATAGCAGATCTATGGTCAGAAGTAGTGAAAAGTAGCAACCATCAAGACGCATGGACATGGGGTAAGACTATTATATTTTGAGATATTTTTCGTTTTTTACCTCAAAATTAAGTTGATGTATTTTTTAGATATTAGTTTGGCTCATAATACCACAGATTAGGTATACTATATGTATACAGAGAAAAATCTTATCACTAATTCGTGGTACGAAAATTGTTTTTTATGACAATGTGCAAACTAGTAAAACTTTCTGTGCAAAAAAATAAACTCGCTTAAAATAACAATAAACAGCGTAATAGAGAAATAGCGCCAAACCGAATAGCGTGCATGGACGTTAATAAGGCCAGGTGTTATTTCCTTTACGTGAGGTGGTATTAACTCTCTTCATTTATAGTTATCGGATCGGAAAGAATTCTGCTCGCGTCGCGTCCTCTATTTAAACTTAACCTAACTTTGAATTTAAAACTTTGAAATTGTTTTGTTTACTAGGTATTTTAAAACTAAAGGGCTAAAGTGCTTATTTCCAGTGCTTTATTATTCAACGTCTGCCAGTGGGTTTAGGGCAACAAATTCTCTTAGAAGGGCTAAGTCATCTGCTGTAAACCTAAGCCTCTTTATAGGTTCTTTAATATTGGAAGAGGTGGAATCCATATTTTGGGCCATATTTATTTAATTAAAACTAAACCCAGCTATTTAAATATCAAATTATGTAATAAAACTAAAGTAATAATTCAAAACAATTCAAATATAACCTAAAATAAAAGATCTCGCCGGCCGGCCCCGGTTGTCAAATACCCGCACATGTCCATTTAAGCAATTTTTAAACGTTATTTAGAAATAGCGCTTGGTGTAATTGATCCGCAAATTACGTCAGCCGGTAACGTTTATAGCGGGTGTTGCGTAAAAAATTGACTCGCGCATATCGTAAACATGATAATGTACGCGTAAATACTGCATGACGCTATTCGGTTTTCCGATATCTCTCTAATAACTGTGCCGGTCAGACGCTGTGCACAATTTTAGAGGCCATAAGTGGGCGTGCTATGTGCGCAAACTAGTAACCTAACTAGTGCCCGATGCCGAAAATGAAACCACGAAAAACAATAAAGAAAAAACAAAGTTTATAATCTGTATAATCTGTGATAATACTTTGGGTTTTAAAAAAGTTCAGTTTTAAACAATTATAGATAAAATATAAGAAAATCATAAATAAAAAAATAGGAAATGTGAATATATTTAAATTAAACCTCTAGAGTTTCTCGAACAATACATTTTAAACTGGATTAAAAAATCTGTCGTGTCTATTAAAATATATGGAGTATAATAAAAATTATACTTTAAGATTTGAAGTAAATAATGTTATAAGTGCCAAAATATCGGTTTGTCATGTTATATTTGTAAAATGTCCATGGGTATTAAATTGTACTGAATAAAATTCTTAACAAAGACACCGCCCGTTCTACACATATACATTGGTTATACAGGGTGAGTCTTAAATAAGTGCCAATATTTTCAGGGCTGGTAGATCTCGATAAAAGAAACATTTTCTTTTTACCTTGTTTCAAATAAATCTAAAATAGCCGAGTTATTTTTCTTTGAATTTTGAGAACCACTGCATCTTTTCTGTAAATTTAATCTACTACCTGTGTTGCCATATTATCAACAAATTATGTTTTTTTAACTAAGAACTAAAAACATTTCCAAATTTTTTTTCAAAAAATTCCAAATATTCAATTTTTTTTTCGCGGAAAAAATCTCAATCGTATTTCTGAAGTCGAAATATACTACACCTAAAAATATACGCACTTATTTAAGATTCACCCTATTGATACCAAAAAATACTGGCACGTGGAAAATTATTTACTTAAAGTCAAGTGTTTATGACGAACAAATTTAAAGGAAAAAAATATATGTGTCTCATACCCATATAGATTATGAACAATTTTAATATCAACCCCTTACAATAAAAATAAAACTGGGTAGGAATTCTCCCAGATATTTTAGATAGGAGCTTTTTAAGATTACAATGGTTAATCAAAGCTTTTGTAAACCCGAACAAAAGAGCCGAAAGAATATCCTACTGTTGCCTAGCTGCTCTTTCCAGGCCGAATATTGCCCGCGGTTTATTTCAGCACATTCAACGCGTTAATATATCACTCGCAATAATACGGAGTTTCGAGAAAACGGGAAATGTGTTGGAGGAAATCTGTGCCTGGTAAAAGTTGTATAAGTTTAAGACTAATAAAACTATTTAATGTGGTTTTGAAAGTTAAAGTACGACATGTGGAAATCTGTTTTCTTCGTATAATGAGAAAAGTTTTCTTAAATAAAACTTTTTGGATTTTTACGAATAGTGTTTTACATTTAAATGATTATTTTGTTGTTGATGAAAAATACAGTTTGTGATTTAACAAAACTTTACTGTTTTTGTACGTCTTATATTTTAAGAAAAGGATACGACATATATAATATAGACAATATTTTTTTCTGTTAAAGTTATTTAGGTCTCAAACCTTTCGGTTGTTAAGCTGAACTGAAATGAGAATTTACCTCGTGAATATACACCAGGAATATTTGCGAACCATTAAAAATTTAGGAACATATTAAATACAAAATATTTTCTATTTCTAATTCTGAATTTAAAAGAAAAATAATATACAATGGATTGGGTTAAAAAAATTGAGACAGCACATTTTAAATATTGCAATGTAAGCCACGCCATAAAGTATACTCTGTATAAGATGATGTAAATTTACCTTTACGGATTTATTTTGTTATCCTTGTTGCTTAGGAAAATGTAACTATAAGTATTAATAAAGTTAACTTCATTCCAGGTGCTGACCGCTTTTAGTATATACAGGGTGGCCCATCGAAAACGTTCCGCAAGGCATAACGGCCAGGGTATTTTTTTTTTTCAAAAAATCCAAAAGCACGTCAATTTTGTTTGTGAGGGGGACAACTTTTGCCCCACAAATGATTGCAAAATCTTCAACCCTCTAAGCGGGGGTGTCATCCCCTAACTTTTTTCAAATGGGAAGGGGGGTCAAGTGGCGCCGCAATGAAATGGGCTTTCTATTGTCTATATTCCCCCCTTCGTTTTTAAAAATCGGTCGAGTCATTTTGAAAATATGAAATTTGAACAGTACTTTTTTCAAAAAAACGCATAAATTGAATTAATTATAAAAAAACTTACCTTATTAATGAAGAGAATGCTGAAAGTGTTACCCGTCAACCTCCATACAGTAATACGAATTATTTTCAAACCGTTCTCGAATATTCTGAAGAACTTGCGGGGTCACTTCGCGACAAACATCAATAATTCGTCTTCGCAGGTCCTCTAATAAAGCGGGTGAAGTGCTATACAATTTACTTTTTATGTGTCCCCATAGAAAAAAGTCTAAAGGAGTCAAGTCGGATGACCGGAGAGACCACTCAATTGCACCCCTTCGTCCTATCCACCGACCGGGAAAGTCATTGCGGTACCACTTGACCCTTCCTTCCCATTTGAAAAAAAAATGGGGGATGACACCCCCGCTCAGAGGGTTGAATATTTTGCAGTCATTTTTGGGGCAAAAGTTGTCCCCCTCACAAACAAAATTGACGTGTTTTTGAATTTTCTGAAAAAAAAATTACCCGTAATTGGCCGTTATGCCTTGCGGAACGTTTTCGATGGGCCACCCTGTATTATTTTTAACCAAAATTTTAGTATACCGTGCTGGCAACTTACTGGTTTTTACTTTTGGGTCGTTATTTACATGTGTGGAAGTAAATCGCACAGGGATCTTATTAAGTCGGAGTGAGAGAAATGTATGCTGTTGCGGCGTTGCCACATTTCTCCGATACGCCTTTCCCTATCAAGTAAAGTAAAATCACGATTCCACACCGCTTATTTTTATAAGACTCTTTTTCTAAAAGATAACTAGATAAAATCATTAGATATGTTTCTGAGCATCTGAAATATAATTACAAGGATATCGTTAGGGTGTCCATTTTTTTATAACGAGAAAACATCAGTAATCGCGAGAATTTAAATACTCGGCTTTTTAACACAACACTCGGTAACTGAAGAACCACTTTAGATAGTGATTTTTTTATTTTTTATTTTGAATTTCGGATCTTTTACAAGATGTTTAAATAAGAAAAATTCGATAGGCTTGTTTTTGTTTCATTCAATAATTAAAAAACCCATCTAATTACTTTTAGTGCATAGCAGTTTTGAGCAATCGTGTAACTTTTTTATTTATAAAGATTTTCACATACTGTTTACGAAGAAAATATAGTAGAAATATTAAGGAAGTTTTTGAAAAAAAACTACAATCAATTGTTTCCAATGGATTTCGAGATATTGATTTTTGAGTTCAGATTTCTAATAGCGCGACCACTGTCGAACACCAACTCAATTCCACTTATTTTTACCAAAAGTGCAAGTGTTTCTAACTAGTTATATAATAATATCGCCATATTGTTTTTTCTCATGCTGACATAAATGTGAGAAAATTTTATCCAGTTTGTATGTTAATGGAAATTCTTGCTTTGCTTTATCATCACTATTACAGATGATTAATTGGACGCGAACGAAGTCGCGGGTACACGCTAGTTTTGTCATATACTAACATTCCAGTGAGCCACTTTTGAAAAACACCCGGTATATCAACATTTACTTCATTACTGTCAACCTTTAAATCGTGTAAATATTAAATCCCTTTCGACATCGTACACTTTGTTAATTTTATTTAAATTTCTTTGCCAGGTCGCCGAGCCGAGCCGTTCGTTAGCCGCTTTAGCCAAAACCGCTCTGCGACTGCAGTAATTATAAATTTACTTTTAGTAGGGAAAGCTCGCGTATATCGTGCAGATTTGCATGTAAAAACTATATTTTGTGCCCCGGTGCGATATATTAAATTATTAATTATGTAAGGGCTTAAATGTTGTTTGGTAAAGCCGCACGCGATATATCAATATTTCTTTTGGTTTATTTATTAGGTCGTGGTATGGTGTATGTAATACTACGTTTAATATTGTTTACATACAAGTAATATATTATTTGTATAGTATACTGGATGACAACGAAATATGCAGCAGAATACGTCATTTGTAATAAATGTTTTTTGTTATATCAACCAAACCAATCTCCAAGTTTCTAGGATTCAATATACAGGGTAGTTCGAATCGTATTCAGGAAACTTTGACAGCATATTCTACAGATAAAAATAAGTAAATAAGTTCATACAGGCTTGGTGTATTCTCCGCCGTTGCTGCCACCATCGGAGAATATCGTAAAAAACTAGCATATACAAATACACGGGTTTAAATAGCGAATATACGAAATAACTATTTATGTAACAAGTTGCGAAATGAATGTGTTTTAAGCACGGGACGCAAAATTGTCAAGTGCGTCAAGTGCTACAATGCGTCAAATGCTTAAAACACTCTTCGCAACGAATTTCATACAAGATTTTTTGTGAAAGCAGATAATTTGAGATTTTCATGCTATTATTATTATTTATTTTTAAACATTTTTTAAAATGTTCTGGTAATCGGTTTCTAAGACATTGTTTATGAGAAGTGTCTAGCCCTAGCAGCCAACTATTAAGCTTGACCAATCAGGTTGGTTAGCGTGGTTATTTGGAGGGTGTCAATTCATTTGTGTTTGTCAAAAACTCTAACGTGATTGGTCGGGCTTAATAGTTGCCTGCTAGGGCTAGACACAAGTTTGTTTATGCATTGTTTAATGACAAAGTTCTGTCAGGTTCAGACGTCGCCGTATTTCCTACAAAGTTTTGTGAAAAAATGAGTGATAATGACGAGTCTTTGGATATTCAACAAGCTGCTGAAACTGCGCTATCCACGTGCCCGAGAAGTCGAAAAACTTATCGACACAACCTGCAACAACTTTGAAACCTGTGTCAAGAGGACACCCCTTGCATTGGAGTATTTGGAGCATGTAGGAGGGAAGAAATCACGTTTTTGGCCGTAGATGCCATTAAAGATTGTCAGTCATTTATTAGTGTGAAGATTCCGAATATAAAAACTCATTTTCCAAGAGTATTTACGATTACTGAGGGTACTTACATGTATTTCATAAGTACGCAAAACTTCGACCACTCAATGTGACACATCAGCGATTTTTCTTGGCGTATCGAAAAAATCAATGGTGTACGCTGCCAGTTGAAATCAATACAATTAGGTATGCCAAAAAAGATATCGGAATTTTTTGGACTCTCCAACGCCACTGAATACACTGGCCATTTTTATTGCAGCTCTGCAACAATGCTGACAGATTCAGGAGCGGACATAACAGTTTTAAAGCGACATGGAGGTTGGCGATCAAGCTCGATTGCTGAAGGTTACATTGAAAATTCAACTGAACAGAAAACCTAAATAGCAAAAAGAATCATGGGACAAAAAGATACGCCAAATAATAAATTAAAAGCAGTTCACGTAGAAGCAGGAGCTACCAGCAATGCCACTACAAAAAAATTACTGATTCCGACTCCTACAACTTGCATTTCTCTTAGACACAAAAAGTTGGATGCCTCTTGTATTCACTTTAATAATTTAAATAATTGTACCTTTAATATTTATAATAAATACATATTTTCATTGTTTCTAACGTTTTATTTTTTACTTTTAGGCACTAGTGCCTAAACAAGTGTCACTTTTAGATACTAGTGCCTAAAAGAATGTCATTTCGAATCTCAAATAAATATCAAAAAAAATGTTGTAAAAGTGTTAGGAAGTATAAATTGGTGATTTACGGTGATTCACCCCCCCCCCTTTACTCGTTCTACATTCTTCAATACATCAATATAATGTTATCTTTTATGTTTTTCTTTTTCAGGTGGAATGCTCGTGGTTTCATTTTCTGTCGCCGGACTAGTAACCTTAGCAGCCATGACACAGCCATCTTTAGCGCCAGAGGCCAAACATACGTTGCTGCAATACGTCACTGGCAAATATCTTCATCCATCAAATTGTAAAGTGAGTACATATTGTTACACTATTTTTTTATACAATATTTTTTTATTTATAATTTTATAGTTACTTTTTTATCAGATGAAAGTTAAAGTTTACCTATCGATGTGCTATTCTCACATCTAAATGTTCAGCTGAACAGTTATGTTTGTCATTTTGAAAAGTGGAATCATTTTTTGATGTATGTTGAAAGGATTCTAGACTGTACACATGATAGACTATACACGCACACGTGAACTAACTAAAACTATTTGTATCTGTACTGGGTTATAATAGATTATAGTTACTGGTTAGCGTTAGTGTTGAATTTATAATATTCTTTATTAATAAAATATAAACTTACACAGTTATATTTTTCATTAAATGTAATTAGAATACTGAACAATTTGGAAAAAGTAACAAAAAATTGGCGCCGGGAGGCACGTATAGCCGCCATACTAAAATCTGTTAATATCTCGAAAACTGCGACTTTGACTGATTTTGATGTTATTACAAATTTTGTTGCAAATATTATTCCTAATCTTAATTTCAAACCGCGTTTCGCTAGCTACTGTAATTTTGGAGTTACGATTTTTAAACCCTTCCCATACCCCCTTACCAACCCCCCACCCTCACCAAAAACTAATGGCCAGATTCTCGGGTGCCACAGTATTTTTGTGCCAAATTTGGTTAAAATCGGTTCAGCGGTTTTTGAGTTATCGTGTTACAGACGGACAGACAGACAGACAGACAGACAGACAGACACCATGAAAATATTTTGTATTTAGGTCATTTATGACCCAAGTAACTCATTTTGAGTGAAATTAAAAAAACTTTTTTTTTGCCGATTCTAATAGCCTACCATACCTATTGGTATGGTCGGCTAAAAAACAATTAATTTGTTATAAAAATAATTAAAAAAGATACTTTGGGAAATGATATATTTAACATTGTGGTCGGTGGTGCCCGGTGGCGTAGAGGTACAGGCTCTCGTCTACCAATCTCAAGGTAGTGGGTTCGATTCCCACAGCCGGCACTTCATCAGCAGACTATTTTTATTAAAATAAAAATAGTTTGGGTACCTAGGTCGACTCAGCTTTAAATGAGTACTTGGAATTCACAATCCTGAGGTAATAATAGGCGGTTGAAGCGTAGTGCTAGCCACATTACCTTTCTTGTATACCGAACGGCTCTAGTATGACCAGCTGTACCCAGCTACTCCCAAGGCGTTAAACGCTTTATACGGATATTATTATTATTATTATAAATATTGAATTTTGTTCTATTGCAGATAAATTTTCAATGGAACATGCCTCATCCCGTTGGCCAGACAGTCTGTTTTTCTGTAAATTTTTATCAACGCAATGGACAGCCTTATCCAATCTGTGATACTGACAATTTTGTTGTAGATATTTCGGGGGGCACAAGAAAGGTAAATGTGAAAAAAACTATTTTTGCTATTTTGACTTTAAGAATTCGTCATTATGTTTTATGAATAACACAGCTTTTAAAATTGCCATTTTTTTTATTTAAATATCTGATCGTTAACAATATATGTTGTATTCAAGAATATAAACTATAACAAGGCAATCCTAAAAAAACTACCATAAATTATTTTTTGTAAGAAGAGTATGGCACTACGTTATAATATGATTATTGTATTCTCTTAAATTTATAATATAATGTTGAAACCACAGCCTATTAAGCACCAGCTGGTACCATTTTTCTTAATGTTTGAGCATCCGCGTTTCAACTGCTGCGTCTATTCTCATACACATGCCAGCAACCAGAGCACCAATTTTGATGTTTTTTTTTAAACAAAAACCAATGCAGTTCAGAATCCTACTATATACAGGGTGGCCCATCGAAAACGTTCCGCAAGGCATAACGGCCAGGGTATTTTTTTTTCAGAAAATTTAAAAGCACGTTTGTTTGTGAGGGGGACAACTTTTGCCCCAAAAATGATTGCAAAATTTTCTACCCTCTAAACGGGGTGTCATCCCCAAATTTTTTTCAAATGAAAAGGGGGGTCATGTGGTACCGCAATAGAAAGGGCTTTCTATTCTCTATATTTCCCCGCCTCGTTTTTGAAAATCGGTCGAGTCATTGTGAAAATATGAAGGATTGAAATTTGAAAAGTTTATTTAAACATTTAGCAGAGTAAATGATAAGGGTAAATTCCTTCGACCAATTTGCTGTTTTTTCTTATTATTTCTAGATGTTTACGCATTTTTTCACTTGCCACAAGGTTGAACGATCCGGTGCGGTAGTTGCTAGATAGCTGTTCTGTGACTTATGCGTTGAAGTTCTTTTCAATATCGTTAAACTTTTTAACAATTATTATGGTGTACTCACTTGCAGAAAAAGTGGAAATAATCAAACTTTATTTTAAAAATAATGAATGTGGCAATCGGGTTGCGCAGATATTCAATGAACGCCATCCTGACAAACACCTTTATGGCAAAATTGTTCGCGTGTTAGTAGCAAAATTTCGCCAAACTGGTTCCCTTATGAATAAAAAGAGGCAGAGGGAAAATCATGTAGTAAATGAACCTATGGAGATATTCGTATTGGGCCAAATTGCCATAGATAGTACGCTGAGTACAAGAAAATTAGCCAATGAGACCGGCGTGAATCGTACAAATGTCCAAAGGATATTAAAAAACACAAGTTCCACCCGTATAAAATTCAGTTGGTACAAGAGCTCAACGAAAACAATTTTGATCGTCGCTTGCAATTTTGTGAAACTATGAGTGAACGAGTGGCGAACGATAATAATTTCCTATTTAATGTGTGTTTTTCGGATGAGTGTACTTTCTTTTTGAACGATGTAGTTAATCGACACAACTGTCGGTACTGGGCTGAGGACAACCCCAGGGTTTTTCACGAGGTGCACACACAAAACCCTCAGAAATTGAACGTGTAGGCTGGTATTTTTGTAAATTCTATTGTGGGTCAGTTTAACGATATTGAGAAGAACTTCAACGCACAAGTCACAGCTATCTAGCAACTACGGCACCTGATCATTCAACCTTGTGGCAAGTGAAAAAATGCATAAAGATATAGAAATAATAAGAAAAAAACTCAAATTGGTCGAAGGAATTTATCCTTATTATTTACTCTGATAAATGTTTAAATAAACTTTTCAAATTTCAATCCTTTCGACCGATTTTCAAAAACGAGGCGGGGAAATATAGAGAATAGAAAGCTGTTTTCATTGCGGCGCCACTTGACCCCCCTTCCCATTTGAAAAAAATTGGGGGATGACAACCCCGCTCAGAGGGTTGAAGATTTTGCAATCATTTTTGGGGCAAAAGTTGTCCCCCTCGCAAACAAAATTGACGTGTTTTTGAATTTTTTGAAAAATAGAATACCCTAGCCGTTATGCCTTGCGGAACGTTTTCGATGGGCCACCCTGTATATGTAGGTACGCAGATTTCCGTGATAGTTATTGGAAGTCGGCAGAGTGATTATGTATAGGCTGTGGCTGAAACTAAAACTAAAACTATCCTGGTGTCCAATACCTATAAAATAATTATAGTTATCGCAACAAGCTCATTTATATTACATAATATAAGATAGGGTGATTAGAAAGTAGAAAACTATTTATACTTGTTTAATAACTATTTGACTTGTTTCTAGTTGAATGTTATTACCGAATTAGGATCTCCAACTGACCCAAATAGTGCTAATGTAGCTAAAGTCAAGTTTACCGTCCGTCATGCCGGCCAATACAAGTAAGAACTATGTAAACTATAAATATTTAATTAAAAGTTAATTTAAAACTTCCAATTTAATACTATCTAAAGACTTACTTAGTAATAAAAATGCTTTTTAAAAATAGTATATTCTTTTATTAGGAGTAAAAAATTATACTTTTTGTGGCGAAGATGTACGTTTGGAGCCTACGTTACTTTTACTCCAAATAGAACGTTTTTTTTTCAAACGTTCACAAATAATTTTTTAAACAATTTCAAACGTCGCAAATAATATAAAAAGTAATACCTTATAATTATATACCGTGCTGGCAACTGATACTATTGGGTCGGTATTTACGTGTGTGAAAGCAAATCGCATAGGGATATTATTAAGTCGGAGTGAGAGAAATGCGACGGTGTGCTGTTGCGTTGTTGCCGGTACGCTTTTCCCTATCAAGTAACAAAAGCGCTTATTTTTAAGATTTTTTTCAAAAAGGTAACTAGATAAAATCATTAGATATCTGAGTATCTGAAATGGAATTATAAGGATATTGTTAGGGTGTCCATTTTTTTATAACGAGAAAACGTCAGTAATCGCGATAATTTAAAAACTGAACTTTTTAACACATAACACGCCATAACTTAAGAACCAATTTAGAAATTGAAGCTTTTTTTATTTTGAAGATTGGATCATTTACAATATGTTTACATAAGAAAAATTCGACAAGGTTGTTTTTTTCATTCCAAAATTTTAAACAGCCATTTCCTTTTAGTGCGTAGCAGTTTTCAGCAATCGTGTAACTTCGAAAAAAAATGTGTAAATTCGCGAAGAAATTTTTTGAAAAACTACAATCAATTTTTTCTAATAGATTTCGAGATATCGATTTTTGAATTCAGAGTTCTAATACCGCGACCACTGTCGAACACTAACTCAATTCCACTTATTTTTACAAAAAATGCAAGTGTTTCTAACTTGCCCTTAAAAATTTTCAAGCTATAGGGAAAATTACAACGACTCTTTAAAAAATAAACATATAATTATCACTAGACGTAATTAAATCGTGAAGCTGAACGCATGATGTTCACCTTTTCCTAGAACTTTAAGTACTGACAGAGGTACTGATTAGGTCAACCGGTCGACTGCGACAAATCTTCTATATCCCTTTCCACGTCTCTTAGCAATGTGCTTAGTTTCTCGGTTTATTTCATACGTTTGGCAACGTGTTTACTGTTCTCTCTTTGTTCAGTACATAATAATCGCATTGTACTCTTCTTACATACGGAAATCTCGACCCAAGACTAACCTTTGCCAGCCCTTAGTATCTAGCAACAATGGGTACACTAGTTGAATTTGACATTTAATGTTAGTTTAATAATATATTTTTTTGTACTTTTGTGCTTAGACGTACAAGTGACTTCTATACCTAGGCATTCTTGATATATTCTTTGCTATGCATTAAAATTACCTTTTTATATGGTCAATCACGTCGCAAAAATTAATACTTTTGTAACGTTTGAAAAAAACAATATTTAATAGCATTTATACATCAATTCACATAAATTTAATACTATCTTTCTTGCGGAAGAATAAATCTATAGTGGTTATTAAATGTAAATGAAATCCGTATGCGATATTTTATAGAGATTTCATTAACAGTATAAACTGTGTTTGGATTGACGCCAAAACCAATACGTTTCAGTTATCATTTCCAACGAACTTTAGATATTTCAACTGAAATATGTGTGAGCTTTGCCAACGAAACGGTTTGGTCAACTTCTAGTAAAGATATTTGCATAGAAAACCACTAGATTTAATAAGTAACGTAAATAAGCACTCTATTTAGGAATTACAGTATATTTATTTATTTAAAATAAATAATTTAATTACAGGGTGACCTAGCGTTTTGAAAAAACTGTAATATCATGTTTTTCGTTTGAGATTTTCGCTCCAATGTTTTTTTTGTAAAATAACAATATAGTAATGCCGGGTGCGTCTCAAAAGTGGCTCACCCCTATAACTTTTTTATTTTTTTAGACACAACAACTCGATTTGGTATGTTTGTATATGACATAAATTGGGATTGATTGACGTATTCAATTGTTATCGGTCACTTCCGGTTTCACCGGAAATGACTATAACTTTTAATTTTTAAATGGCACCCTCGGTATTTTTTTACTTTATTCGATAGAAAATGACACTCTGAATCGAATGACATATCATATGCCACCTTTTGACATAGTCACTCAAAAATAAATCCTATTTTAAATTTCAATCTAGGGTGCCGTGGCTCTATTAAAAATTCTAATTTTTAATCAAGGAGCCTTGGAAAAATAGATTTGATCGTCTAATGTTTTTAGTGTCTTGTCCTGGCCGGTTAAAAATGCCCAAATCGTATTTTTATTCATACCTCAATTTTTTCAAATGGAACGAGGATGGCGCATATTTGGAAAAAGCATTTTTTTACGAATAATTTGGTACCACACGCTTGTTACAATTTTAAATAAACCATATGCCAAAATGTCAAAAGTTAACATATGATATGTCATTCGCTTCAGAGTGTCATTTTCTATCGAATAAAGTAAAAAAATACCGAGGGTGCCATTTAAAAATCAAAAGTTGTAGTCATTTCCGGTGAAACCGGAAGTGACCGAAAACAATTGAATACGTCAATCAATCCAAATTTATGTCATATACTAACATACCAAATATCGTTTTTTTTATCTGAAAAAATAAAGAAGTTATAGGGGTGAGCCATTTTTGAGACGCAACCAGTCACAACCAGTCAATTTATTTAGTTAATGCTACCGAGTGGATGATGACAGTTATCGGAAACTAAACAAACAATATGATGTTAATCAACGTTAATAATAACCATCTCTAACCAAGAAACGCCTTTTGATTTTTAGGACAATATTTTTATTGATTTTTTTTATTCAACAATATTTTCGTGTTTTTCTTAATTTTCTCTAAAACGGTATGGAAATTTGGAAAAGTATAAACGGGATTAAGCATTTTCGAACAAGCAAATTTTTTTATAAAGAATCTATTTTTCTCAAAATGTTAATACTAAACAAGTTTTTCCTCTTGTAAAAACAATCCGTGGACACTGTATGTTGACTTTTACTTTTCTAGAATATCCGTTATGGTTAGCAGTCAACACGTAGCTGGTAGTCCTTTTTCTACCATTTTTGTAGCGGGACCCGCATTCGCACAAAGGACAGTGGTGATACGCCACTGCAGCACTGTAGTTTGTACAGCCAGTGTCGCACATTTGCTCTATATCGAACCCAGGGACGAGTATGGCAATATTTGTAAATACGATCTCGACAGCAAACCTACTGAGGTATGTGTAACTATTAACACTTAAAAAATATAGTTTTTATATTTACTTTTTTACAGGGTTATAGTGTTCATATAATACCGTTGGGTTTAAGTTCGCGTGAAAATATACTAGAAATAGATGAAGAAAGGCATACGACGACTATGGACTACGATTGGGCTAGCCACAGAGTCAGTGTGCAGTTAAAATTTATAAAAGAAGGATGTTACCACGCTACGATAAAATACAAGGGTACAGAATTGCACAATGGAGATTTTGATATTATTGTTTTAAATAGTAAGTATTCAATAAGTTATAGAATCTGTTCAGTTTCTCAGAGTGGTGTCTCATGATCAAACTTAAATGTAATTGACAAAAACCAATGTCAAACTACTATAAAAATGCTTTATTTGTGACCGGTGGCGGTTATTCAGCCATCATCAGACCATTATCAGACCACTGTTCATAGCAGAGACACTCGAAATATTAACCAGTTATATCTACCTCAATATAAGACCTCTTTATATCGACGATCATTTACGTATTCTGCGGTCTCGTTATATAATTCCCTGCCAAGTGCTTTAATAGCTAAGTCCCTCGGTTCATTTAGATCGGGGTTCAGAGATTTATTATTCCATAATGTGAGTTGAGTATACTTCTTGAAGCCAGCCAACTATGCCTCTCCTTGGCTCTCTCTTCATCAACACCAATACATGCCTGTTGCCTTATGTTATTGCATAATGTACTTATAGGTATTAATTGTTCTCTATGTGTGCTCTATGTGTTACACTAAAAAGTTTTGTTAATGCTTTATATTTTTTTTATTTTTTGTATTTTTCATTATTTTTTTTTGTTATTATATTTATACATTTGATATATTAATTTAAGATAAGGTAGTGGATATTGATATTATTTGTTAGGTTATACTGTAATGGTACTCGGTTAACTAAGCAGTTATTTACTGAAATTCGCCGAGGATTATTAAAATAAAGACATATTATTATTATTATTATTATTATCAATAAACGCTGTTCGTTTGACTAATGTTATTTATACAGGGTGAGTTTTCCACGATGTTCTCTATGGGTATCTCAGAAACTACTGGAGATAGAGAGTCAAAAGAGGGTTAAGTGGGGAAAGAATTGCAGTTTTGTGGGGTCATAAATATGCGCCTTTCGGATTTTTGAAAAAGTCCATGGCTTACTTAGTTATTTCGTAAAAAACAAATTTCGGTTATTTTAAAAATTGTCCCTAGTTCCATTATATTCTATTTTAGACGAAAAAGTTTTCAGATAAAAGTCGTAGATAATCACATCCTTAACGAGATTATGTCCTCCGTTTTTTTTTCTAAAGCCTGCCATTTTTGACATATGACACAAACATGTTTTTTTTTAAATGGATGCCATAGTTGGCCATGACTTCATAAAAAGCGCCATTTTTTAAACGTTTCAGCGATATAAGCTATAATATGTTTTCTTCGAAAAATTACTGAGTTATTTTTCAGTCTTCATTTTTTCGATTTATTATAATTTTGTTCCAAGTGCTTTTAGCGATTGGAGTGAAATTTTAAGGTTAAAACCTACTATAGTAGCTCGAATATTTTTCTAAAAAAACATGCACACCACTGAATTTTTTTTTTCTTATTAGCAAAATTCTATAGACCATTTAATGGCAATTAAAAGTTGTCTCGATATTTTGTCGATTTCGGTCTTCTTGATGCGACAAACGCAATTTTATTAATTTGTCTTAATCCAAGTCTAATAGCAACCTTTATTTTTTTAATATCATGAACTGGCCAAAGTGTTATATAAAATAAGTACCTTGATTCCTTATAAAAAAATATGAAAAAAAGTTTTTATAACATAGGTGCGGAAAATGCATAGTGTTACAGGACGTTAAAACATTAAAAATTGGTCTTTTGTAATTACCTTAAATATCATTATTTTTTTATGAATTTTCTGTAAGTAGCACTGAACATCAGTGTCATATACAGGGTGCTACAAATTCGAGGTACGAGCATTGGTATCTCGGTAACCGTAATAGATACGAACATGGTTAAATTGGGGCAAAGTTGCGCCTTGGGATGTTCACCAAGATGCCATTAAAAAAGTTTTAAAAATTTCAAGGATTGCTGAGTTTTTTGGAAAAACGGATTTTTTTGAAAATGAATTTTATTTTTTCCTGTCGTTACTTATAAGAAAATCAAAAAACTAATTGCACATTCTCATAGCCACTTTATAAGGGCTATGTGATAGTATTTTTAGATTTTCAAATTAGCTGATAACTTGTTAGATACAGAGGCCAACTTAATTTTTTTAAATACGGACCTGCATTTTTTATTTCAGATTTTGAAAGAACTCGGTCTCATGAGTACAATGATATGCCACACTTAATATTTTTTTTGCTTCGGACATTTGAACACAATTTATTATACTAATTTCAAGTCCGGCTCTGTTTTTTTATTAATATTTAATCTATTCATCGTTACAATATTGATATGACGTGGGGTAAAACATTGAATATGGAAAATCAAATGCAATGAAATACTAAAAAATAATATACCTACAAATGAATACATTACTTCGCATCATTTGTAAAAGTGAAATCAATACATCTCAACATTTACAATAAAGAGTACAAAATGCTTTCGGAAGTATAAGAAGAAAGTTCAGACAGCTATAAATAAAATTGAACGAAAAATTAATTTGTGCAATATAGGGAGGGTGGTAACTGGTAACCGTTTCGAACATTTAGAGCGTTAGAAGCTAGTTTGTAGAAGTTGATTTATTTATAATAACTACGATGAATATTACGCATATTATTAGATCGCACACTGATATTTCAAATTCACAATAAAAAAAGTTAAAAATAATATCTTTAAATTGCTGACCTGGATATAATTTATTTGAATCTTCCAATTGGCTGGATTTTCCTTATTCAATGTTAATTAGCGCTGATCAATATTGTTGCGATGATTATAATCAGATTAAATAATTAAAAAAATCAGAGTCGGACTTGAAATAATTATTTTAAATAATAATTAAATAGTTTTTTGTTGTTAAGGTACCCAAAACATAAAAAAGTATAAAGTGTGGCATATCATTGTACTCAGGAGACCGAGTTCTTTCAAAACTGGAAATAAAAGATGCAGGTCCGTATTTAAAAAAAATAAGTTGGCCTCTGTATCTCACAAATTATCAGCTAATTTGAAAATCTAAAAATACTATCAGATAGCCCTTATAAAGTGGCTATGAGAATGTGCAATTAGTTTTTTGCTTTTCTTAAAAGTAAGGACAGGAAAAAATAAAATTAATTTTCAAAAAAATCAGTTTTTTCCAAAAAACTCAACAATTCTTAAAATTTTTAAAACTTTTTGATGGCATCTTGGTGAACATCACAAAGCGCAACTTTGCCCCAATTTAACCATGTTCGTATCTGTTACGGTTACCGAGATACCAATGCTCGTACCTCGAATTTGTAGCACCCTGTATATTAATAAAATTTTATTAAATAAATAATTTATTAATTTTATTTTAATTTTGTTAATTGTAATTAACAAAATTATTTAAGCGTTTATCTCACCAAGGAGATCGAAATGGACAAAATATTATGGTACAAATAATACAACAAAATAAAAAATTATCAGATCTACACGATTTTGCTCACAAGAGAAAAAGGTAGTTTTAGAATAAATATTTCTGTGTTAACCAATATGTACGTCCCTGGTGAATATGTCTACACTTTTTTAGCATTAAAAAATATCGCACTTACTAGTAATTGTCTGCAGTACAACAAAAAAAAATTGAAAAAAAAATAAGAATTTAACCTCCAGTAGATACAAAACAAAGCAGAATCGGATCTATATAAAGATAGCACATATGTTTTTTGAAACACTCTATATACAAATCAAGTCCAAAAAGTTCCTTTTACTGAAACAAGGCGTTAACAACAATCCCCATAGAGATCTCATTTTTTTTCCAGGTATTGATTCAACTTTAGTACAAAAGAATGTAGCGACCAAGAACCATAACATCTGTTACGACGCCAAGCTGATCGGCATCAAAGGCGAAAGAGTGACGAAACCAAAGAAGGTTATGTGTTATGTCTCCCCCAAACAGCTCATCGTTAAGGAATTGATATTAAAATTTATACCTAAGCGGTTATTCACGTTTAGATTATGTCCTTCTACAAAGGTAAGCATGTTTAGAATTCAAAAATTTAGCATTATACAAGTATCTTTGATTTGAATAATTATCCCGTCATCTGTAAGTAAGCCTGTCGTTCATTATGGTCTATTTTTCCTGTTTGGTTACGTTTCTGTAGCCAACATATTTATGATTGTTGAAAACTATTTTTATGGCTTTATATAGACTTTAAATAATTTGATTGTATTGTATCTTTGGATGGTAAAAAATCATTCAGCATTCTCGTTGCCTTTATTTAATTTAACTTATACGATGTTTCTTATCACTGGCCGTTGTCAAGTGTGAACTAATCTAACTATTAAAACTACTGAGCTTAATACCATATTGGTCACTCTTTAGGAAGGAGTATAATGTTATCCATGTATTCGAGCATGGTGGGCGAAAAAAGGACTCTAGGGTGGGGATCTTTGACAGTTCTGTTTGACAATTAATTTGACACATTTGAATTTGATTTGAAATTTTGTGGACTTGTCAGTCTTTACTGAGCTTATTTTATGTTATTTATTATTTATTCTGCTACTGATAGTTGTATAAAAGTAGTAAATCTAGATGAAAATTGTGGCAGAACTTAAATTAACGGTGACATTATTGCGATTTATCGAAAAAGACTGTAAAATAGTTGGTTGTGTAGCGAGCGGTAGATCTCGGTGAAAAATCGAGTGAAATAATGGAACAACTTTTCGCTAGTAAGTGACTATATAATATACACATACGTGTAGTAAACCGATAATTTATGAAATTCCCTTAAAATAACTAATTATATATTTTTCTTGCATTTTTGCTTTTATTTACTACTTGTCAAAGATTAGATGTCAAATACTACTGAAGCAGGTAAGTCAAATTGACGTATCTAAACAGATACGTCAATTTGACTTACCTGCTTCATTAGCGTACCTATCGGATGTTTGTGTTAATAAATAATTATTATGACTTATCTATTTTTATTAGAATTTTATATTTTTATAACAATTTTAATAACTACCAACATTTATTCACAACGTAAAATAAAACAACAAATTATTGAGTCTACGCCACGTCTACCCTACATCATAGTTTTACACTTTTTAAATAAAATTAGAACGCACTGATACACCGGAATTTTTTTTTATGATTCAAAGTTCATTTAAAAGGTAGAATCAACAGCTATCACATTTTGGAACTTGTTTGAATTTTGTCATATTTTATGATAATAAAAAAACCGGGCAAAGATTCCTTAACCCAAACATTTTCAGATTTTTACAAACTTATTCATAGTTTCACTAATAATCGCTTAGTTGTCAATTTTTTTAACAGTTGTTCTTAGGGTCTCTTTAATAACTCAGAAAGTTTGAACTATTTGTGACTGGCTTTTCCGCTTTTTTGGGATTTCCGGAAAGTATCGTAAACAAAAAAATGCAGAATAACTTTATAAGTAACAATATACAACGAGATATACAACAAATATATTACAACTCTTTCAGAGTATATTGTTTTTGTCCATTTTCTCGGATTGAATGGCCTAGTTTCACCACTTGGTGCACCAATGAGCCAGTTTTTCAGTTCGATATAATTTTGTCCAGGGATTTTTCAGAGTAATCATTCTGAAGCAAATCCGTCTTAATATTATTTAATTCAACATTAAGTGATGCTTGGTCACTACATATGCTGTTTGCTCAGTAACATAATGATTTAACTATTCCTTCCTTAGTTGCTTCAGAATGGTTTGGCTGAAAACGTATTACCAGCGTTTTACTAGGAAAACAGAACTTGCTAAATACGATCTTGTTTTGCGTGTTTCAGTTTATATTTCAGTCGGAAACACTGAAACTAAACGACAGTGGAGACTCCTTCATTATCGACGACGGTTGTCAGCCTAAAGTCGAGCTAATATCCAAAGAAAAAAACGTCATAGCCGCAACATTCGCACAATTTTTACTTAAAAATATGGGAGGATCGGAAACATTTAAGGTACGTTTTATAACGAAGCAATTTTGAGTTTTATTTTATGGGCTTGTTTCTTCAGGATAAGCAAGATTTCTTCTATCATGAAGTGAGAAAATACCATCAGAAACATTATCACGAAAAGTTGGCCATGAAAGTAACGAGAGAAAAATTACTGGACAGTAGTATAAAAGCTACAAAGAATTTTTCTGTGTCGGATTGGTGTAAAAATTTTGAAATTACATTTCAGGGAGAACAAGGTAAGATAATCTAGAATATATTATGTCTATAGTAAAAAATGTCTATACCTATGTGGCGGATTCATCTCTCCAAAAAAATCCTTTATGGGTATTTCGCCACTGCAATGCAAGAAAATCTACAAAATAAAATAGTTATTTTTTGTAAACACTTCTGCGTTAAACCTCAAAGGACACTGCTTGTCAGAAGTTATGTTTACAGTTATGCAAATTTGCCTAACAAAGAAGAAATGCTTAACGTTTCGGAAAGTTTATCTCTTTCCGTCGTCGGCGTCGGAAGCAAAAAAAAATACAAAGAATAAAGAAAAAAACTATTTAAAATATTTAAATTCAACTATTCAAAGACACTTTACTTTTTTAAAACAGATACGTCTACAAGAAACCGTTGACGTTAAACAATAACGATAAAACTACTTAAAGAACTATTTACAGCAAAATAAAAACACTAAATCACCACAATACACCAAAACACTTTTACTTTTACACTGGACGCGCGTTTCGCTAACCATGTTAGCATCATCAGCAGATGATTATAAACTGTTTATAATCATCTGCTGATGATGCTAACATGGTTAGCGAAACGCGCGTCCAGTGTAAAAGTAAAAGTGTTTTGGTGTATTGTGGTGATTTAGTGTTTTTATTTTGCTGTGTAACACCAAAGGTTCCAACCCTCAACTGTAATAACTATTTACAACTTATTTACTATTTATCTAACTATTTACCTAAAAGGAATTTATTTTGAGTTTAGCGCGGCAATTGTACGGGTCGACCGATCTGTTTGTTTTTGTCCTCCTCAGGCCCCAGGCGTCGGTTTATGTATGAGAGAAACAGACAGTCTAAATTTTACCAGTATTTCCTATTTGCGTCTAGCCGCCGTTCTCTGTCTGTCCATATTATTCTAATCGTTCTCGAATGGGGGCGGGGCATATTAGTCAAGTTAGGCTGAGTTTACACGGGTCCGCAACAATAGGTATTTTTGTGAGGGATTAATTTACTACAGTTCATACCAAATAAACTTTTAGTCACGTGATTAAGTTTGACTGGCACAGCGTTGCCCACTTTTATATATTTTCTTTTATTCAAAACATTTTAGGAAACAAAAATAAATTAATTATAAATATATGCAACAGTTATTATTTGCATCAACAAAGCTCACCTTCTTAAACTCACGCACTTAAGGGACATATAGGGCCATTACTACCGCTTTCCCTTTCAAAATATTCTAATAAAGTTGCGATGAGTTTTTTTACGGCTATTAAGCTATCTTGTACATTTCAAACTAAAAGAGGTTCTAAAAAACACAATGTTCGACTGCAAGGTCTGCTATAGTCTGTCCAACGACAAGTTCCCTGACAGTGATAGATGTGTCTGTCATTTAAATTTCAAAGTAGTTTATTTTATTGTACAAAGAAATAAGTTGGTACAATTGGAACGCATAGCAGGAAATTAATATATTTAAAATTTGAGAGACAAGTGATTACTTCAAAATATTGTGAAAAAAACTGTATAAAACTGAAAAAATGTAATCGAGTTATTTTATTAAAAAAACGGTATGGTGTTAATACAAAACAAACAAGAACAAAACACCACATACTAAAAAAAAATTAAAAAAAACTATTTCTTACTTTTAAGCTTCAAGAAACTTTCCTTATATTATATTTATCAATATGTACAAATACAAATTTGTAATATTCCACAGGGATAAATAAAACAACATAAATAAATCAAACTATTTTATTAATAATAGCACTTACCGAATGTCATACCTTAAAGGTGGGTTAATTAACTTTAATCTTAAATTTTTTTAAACCAGTACCTTTTGACATTTTTCCTCAGTACTAAAATCCATTATTTACCTATCGTGTGATGACGTTATTTTACAGCTACTTCAATTTTTAGTAAGTACAATTCTTGTACCATATACGAGATGCACTTATGACGATATGGTATACAAACTTTATTGATGGTAATTTTATTGAGATGTATAGGACTTTCTGCCTGGGCACCGAGTTTACTATAAACTGTGCTCTGGGTCTACAGTTAATTTTCCCTCGATTTTTCTTCCACTTGACCACAGCTTACAGAATAATATAGCTTGGACACTCGCCAATTTTTCCCACGCTCCAATTTAAAACGCCCCACTCCGACGATGCTTAACTGAATTAAGCGAGCGACAGTCAGCCTCATTCGGTCGATGCATAACCTCCACCGGTGACGAGTAGGGCCGTATTACGGAAGATTTTAATTCGATTTTTTCTTATATTTAACCATAGGTATTTGTGCTTTTATTTCAATTTTATTTTTATTGTTGGAATGGGAAAAGGTTTTCCGGGATGTGCGGCTGCTGGTTACACAAATAATTATGGAAATAATTCAAAATATAGTCTGTTTAATTTTCAATTCAATTCAAAATTAATGTTCAATTCAAAAGTATTCACACTTTAGAGCTTTTCAAAACGATAAAGACAACTTATTTGGAGGCTTGCTAATGCCAAGTGACCATTTTTTTATTTAGTGTCCTCATTGAAGGCTATTTTTATATGCTTTGTATGTAACTATCTATGTATGTATGTATGTTTTTGCGGGGCAAATCTTGTAAGCTAAATTAGAACCACTTCCTTTTATTGTAGGAGATTGAAATTTGACATGTAGGTTCAGACCCGATGACAATACATTTTTTGCACGGCATGACCCGAATTTTTGACAGCTGTCGAAATGGCGGCATTTTTGAGGTTTTTGATTTTTTAAAATTCTATTTATGAATGGATCGGGCTAAAATTATATATATAGGTATATTGTGGGTATATGCATATGAAAAAAATATATGGGCGGCCATCTTGAAAAAATGACAGTTTAATGACATGTCAAAATTTCAAAGTCAACCGATTTTCATAAAAATTGATATATAGGATGGCCATGGGCTAAAATGAAAGAAAAAAATTTTGAGCTGTCAAAAAAATGTCAAAGTTGTCCGATTTAGATAAAAATCGATGATGGCCATGGGTTAAAATGAAAGAAAAAAATTTTGAGCTGTCAAACTTGACAACTGTCAAAAAAATTTCAAATTTGTCCGATTTTGATAAAAATTGGATGCCCCAACCCCATAGTCGATTTTCATTTTATTTGTCTCACATTTGAACTGTCAAATTTGACAGCTGTCGTTTTTTTAAGTTCTCCTTTTTTAATGAAAATCGATATACATATTATTAGGATGCCCATAGAAAGTTATTTAAGAAAAAAATTTAGTTTAAATGTGTGGCACTGAGAAACCAACATAACTAAAAAGTAGAAAATAAATTTTACAAAAAAAAAATAAAACAAGCTTTTATTTAAATTTAAATACACTAAAAAGAATAAAATAAACTTTTTCTTTAAAACTTTTATTATGAACAACGCCATTACACAATTTTAATATTATATAAAAGCTTGTCGCGAGATTTCTCTACATCGATAAACAAGTAAATTAACTAAAACCTGTGTCTACCCTGTCTCATTTTCAAAGTTTGTGTTATGATAGACCACTAGACCAGGAATTACAAGATAAAGTTGTCGTACCAGATTTTTATGAGTGCAACTGTACACTCAAATCTCGCGGCAAGCTTTTATATATTAATATTAAAATTGTGTAACGACGTTATAAGTTCATAATAAAAGTTTTAAAGAAAAAGTTTATTTTATTCTTTTTAGTGTATTTAAATAAGAACTTGTCTTTAAAAAAGTTTTTTTTTAAAAATTTATCAGAACAATTTTGAAGGACTTGCCTTAAATGAAAATATATTATGTAAATTCGTTAAATTATTTCAGACAATTAAATTCAACCATCCTTGTCAAAATTTTCCTATAATGTATTTTTTGTTAAAATTATACGCAAAAGTTAATTTATTAATACCTTAAAGAATATTAATAAGAACTTAAATGTAGCAAACAAAAACCGAAAGCTCCTAATTTGGAAACATTCGTAAATAACTATAAGTAATCAATGTACCTATTTCATTTTGCTGTTATTTCTAGAAATAAATTAATTAATTTGTTTTTTAAATGTTTTTCTTTGAGAATGCATATTTATTTAAAGTCAACAATTTAAAAAACGTGTATCTAAATTATGTTCTAGTACCAGTCGAATAATTTTTTACGTCACGTGTAAAAATTTTTTTAATACATCTCTGGGCTGACTCTGGGACTAAAAAGATCAAAGCGGCACGCTACACTGTCCGAGCTGTTTTTTTACTTAAGCTGTGGCTTGACTTCAAAAGACACAAAACATACGTAATAACAAGAATCAAAATGCATCATCTCCCAAAACTCAGGGTATTTGACATAAGTTGACACAAAATTATAACCTATAATTAAGCAACACTTTGACAAGCCTCAGAAATCTAAAGGCGAGTGCATACGCATCGGCATCCATTTGTCGTTCATCGTTCCGTCAAACTAATAAAATTCAAATTTGATTTGTCATTTTTGAAATAAACCAATAAAACTGGTTAAACACAACATGAAACGACGCGTGACGGATTTATATTTAGACCCATCCATAGTTAACTTAAAAATATTAGAAAAACTTTTTAGTAAAATAAATAGATTGGTATGGACGTCATCTGCTTTTCTTCTGTCATCGTCTGTCGAAATCTTACCTGAGAAAAAAAACAGAATATACTGATTTATTTTATTATTATATTGATTTTTTTTTGATGTTTATAAATAATTACAAAAATAATAATTAAAATTATTGTTCCGGTTAAAGCATCCTTATCTTAAGATGTCTTTTTTTGCAGCAAAAAATGGTGTTTGTTATTGTTGATTGTTTGAGAAAAAAGATTGTGTCCCGTTTGATTATATTCAAGTATTTTCTACTATTACAGGCATCGACTGGGGAGGACTTCGCCGAGAATGGTTTGAATTAATCTGCGCACAGCTCTTCGACGCTAGGAACGGCCTCTTTGACAGTTTTCACGAAGGCCAACAATCCTTAGTCCATCCGAACCCTAGCAGGCCTCTTCATTTGAAATTACGACATTTCGAATTTGCCGGAAAAGGTAGAATTGTGCGATATTTAAGGCAAAAATCTGTTTTATATTAATTATTCCTATTTTAGTTGTTGGCAAGTGTTTATATGAAAGCGCTTTAGGGGGTTCTTACAGACAGTTGGTTAGAGCACGATTTACAAGGTCATTTTTAGCCCAAGTGATTGGTCTGAGGGTCCATTATAAGGTACAAATTCATATTATTGTTTAGGTAACAGGGTTTACTCAATTTTGCATATAGTTCAAATAGATATTTTAGAATTTATTATTTATAGTATTGGACAAAAAGTTCAGATGAAACCCCTGCAACCTAACAAATGGGATTCTTTTATTAAAAAGTTTTTGCGAAATAAATCTATATTGATTAATGGCAATATAGTACGAGAAGCTAGGAACGTCGGAAAAACAAGTATTATAAGACGTTTGGCTCTTTGATATATCTTTAAATATGCTCTCTAGAACAGCATGCGGCCCGTCTGGCTTCCGGTAAACGTTGCGTTCCCTACTGCGCATTGAAAGAAGATCCTATATTTTTATTAGTCCTTTAAATTCTAGTATTGAATATAAATCGAACATGTTTCCATAGCGCATTGCGTAGAGTTTCCGACCACGAACCGATGATTCAGAGTTCGAATCCGGGTCAGGACAAATACTTTTTTATTATATTTTCGTTTATATTTTGATTGTAAAGTATTAAATTATTTGTTTTTTTTTTTGAATCACCAGAATTATTTAATACTTTACTATCAGAATATAAACGAAAATAAAATAAAAAAGTCTTTGACCTGACCCGGATTTGAACTCTGAATCATCGGTTCGTGGTCAGAAACTCTACGCACTGCACTATGGAGATATGTTCGATTAATATTCAATACTAGAATTTATAGGACTAAATTAATAAAAAATATAGGATCTTCTTCCTATGCGCAGTAGTGAACGCAACGGGTATCGGCAGCCAGACGGGCCGCATGCTGTTCCAGAGAGCATAGTAAAAGATATATCAAAGAGCCAGACGTCTTAAAATACTTTCTCGAAAACGTTGCTAGCTCTTAGACTAATATGTTATATGTTCATCTGTTATCGTAGCAATGTACAAAAAGACCCTTTGATTACTTTTGAATGTGTAAAAAGTGGGGTTAAATATCAAAATACTAAAAAAATGTCAAAAGATGTTAAAATCCAGACGTTTTAACCAGTGACAACAACTTACAGGGTGGTCCGAACTGTATTACGGAAACTTTGGTAGAATACTATTCTGCAGATAAAAATAAGTAACAAGTTCGTAGAAATGTATGTCTAAAAATGCTTAGTTTCGGAGATACAGGGTGTATAAATTTCATTTTTATTTCGATTTTTTTCAAATAATAGAGAACAACGACCTACGGTCGAATCGGCCGCTTCTGGCACGTATATGTAGACGTAAAGAATCTTTTACGTGTAAAAATATAACAAATGCGCATGCGTACGTAAACGTTTAGGTGTTTGTAGGCTCTGCCGTTGTTATTCTCTATTATTTGAAGTAACGTCAATATTTGGATAAAAATTGGTATCAGGGAGTTGTTTTGACATAAGAAATTTGATTTTGATACCAATATGATTCCTATTTGTAGGGGACGCCATCTACATGTGTTTTAATTGTTTTGAAGAGTAATAACTTTTCGTCCGTACCTGTATAAAACTACTGAGTGAAAAAATACATTTCCGTGATTTTTTACCTCAAAAATGTCTCTTGGTAAAAAGCTCTATGAGCAACCATTCTCTAGATTTTTAGAATGGAAATAGTCAATACATGTAATTATTGACAAAAAATAAACATGTTGAGTAGATAGTTATTTATGATAAATTTGTTAGTTTTTTATTTTTTTTTAATTAATCATAAATTTTTCTTCGAAAAAATGATTATTAGTCGACTTGTTTAATTTATGTCAATAATGACAATAATTTCGATTCCAAATATCTCGAGAACCATACTCGTAGCGATTTTTACCAAGAGATTTTTTCGGTAAAAAACGTCGTAAATGTATATTTGTTTTACTCAGTAGTTTTATACAGGTACGGACAAAAAGTTATTACTTTTCAAACCAGTTAAAAATATGTAAGTGGCGCCCTTTACAAGTAGGAGTCATATTGACATCAAAATATCAGTCAAAAAACTCCCAGATACCAATTTTCATCTAAATATTGACGTTACTTCAGAAATTATTTGGAAAAAATTGAAATAAAAATGAAACTTCTACACCCTGTATCTCCGAAACTACGCATTTTAGGACATACATTTATACGAACTTTTTTACTTATTTTGATCTGCGGAATATGCTGCCGAAGTTTCCGGAACAAAAGTTAAACTAGTATGTTCAAAGTTATTTAAAAAAAAAATTATGTGAATCTCTATTTTCATTCTTTTATTTCAGTATTTTGAGCAAGACGATCCTGACCTCTACCTGTCAAAAATAAAATATTTGCTGGATAATAATATCGACGATATTGAAACAGAGCTTTATTTCATTGAAGAGGAATATGACGATACGGGACAGTTAATAAAAACAGTAAGTTTTTTAAATATTTCCTTAATATTTTGTTGCATAACTTTAAAACTTTTAGGTCGAGTTGATACCAAATGGTTGTCAAATTAGAGTGACTGATACCAGCAAGTTGCAGTATTTGGACGCTTTAGCTCAGTACAAATTAGCTACAAAAGTTAAGGACGAACTTGAGGCTTTTCTTAAAGGATTGAACGAGTTGATTCCCGACAATCTTTTGAGCATATTTGACGAGAATGAGTTGGAAGTAAGTATTTCTTGCAAAGCAGTGGCGTGTTAATCATAGAAACTAAATAAACGCAACTTTCCTTAGAGATTTCTTAAGGTGCGTCCCGACATTGCTCGTGATCCTGCTCGCGCTCTTGCTTCTGATTGTGCTCGCGTTGCTTGCGCTTTTTAATAGCGGCTGCTATTGCGGTCATTATTGCAAAACGAAGAACACAAAGGAAAAAAAGCGGTGTTGGATGTCTAATAACTTGAAAAGTAGACCCCAGCACAGTGAAATTAACTTCTACGCGATTAACAGACAGAATGTTTTTTAATAAATTTTATCGCATGTCCGCTACTGATTGTGAAAGACTTATTAACTTAGTTGGTCCCCGTGTAGAAAGAAAAATTACAACTTTTAGGAAGTGTATTCCGGTTAAAGAAAGAGATTAGCCATAACATTAAGATTGCTTGCAACCGGAGACTCACATACCAGTTTGGGTTATTTATTCAAAGTTTCCAAGCAAAAAATTTCAAAAATAGTACCGAAATATAAATGCATATGGCAAAATATAAATAAAGTTCTCAAAGATCAGATTACGATAAATAGGCAATATAAATATAGAGTTATATTTTATTAAAGGTATATTTTATATTATTAATTCAATAACAACACACAAATATTTGTAAATCTGAACAAAAAAAAATGAGAAAAATCATGGTAGTATCATCATACTGCAGCAAATACCAAGTCCTATGAGTGACACCAAACTAAAAACTAAACAAACAACGCAAACAGCTCGAGCGCTTCGAACCGCCGCCGCCGCGCCGTAAAGTGTACTCGCATGGCTCCGAAGCTTCTCTTTGATGTACCGCGACAGAGCCGAACAGTCGAAACAGGCATTTTATGTGATCGCAAGCCCGTGGAGCACCACGAGCGTCGTGAACATCTCGCTTCGACTGTTTGCCACGTTTCTCGTGTTTCATGTGTTCGTTCGACCTGCTCGCGAGCCATGTGGACGCACCTTTACATATTTCATAAAAGCGTACATTTATTCCCCAAATAAGAAAATATTTATTTTATCCCATCTGGCCAAGCATTGTAAATAAAAAATGTATAAAAACATTTTATTTAACTTAGATTTAATTGGATCAATCTTAACACATTTTACTATGTATACAAGGTGTCCCAATATTCCGTGGACATAGAACTAATATTTTTTTAGAATATTTTTGGAATCAAAATAAGTTCATTGGTCACAATAAGTGCTTCGTTTGTCCGCTAGAGGATATCAACCTTCCGTTATTATATTAAAAACCGTTATTCCAATTTGAATGAGATTTTGGGTGTCTATGTTTTGGCAAGTGCTGACATTTGGCTTTCACAAAAATCAAGAAAAAGTACTGCAAGGGTAAAACCTACACCAACCCCTTCAGAAATTTTAGTATACATTTTTTCCAACTCTACCGACGACACATTTTCTTTTCGTAAAATGGTCCCTCTATTATTTACTACATATTTTGTCTCTTGTAAAAAACTCTACATCGCATAGTTTTTGGAGAATTTATTTTTCCAAAGCAAACCTACAAAATATACAAGGATTTCCAATATTCCGTAGATATAGATCAACTACGAATTTTTTGGATTAAAATAAGTTAATTGTGCATAATTTACCTTTATACAAAAGTGTTTCGTTTGTCCGTTAGAGGGCATCAATCAAAAATAATCACGAACGTTAATTAATTTAAAAATTATATTTTTTTTAAGCTTTTTATGAAGCTTATTGTCAAATAAAATTTGCGATACTAACATAAAATTTCATATTTTCGCCAACTAGATTATTAGAGCAATATAGATTTTATGCGCCTCCATAACTTAATGTGACAAAAAACATTTTTTAGAAGTCAGGTTTGGAAAAATAGTTTTTCCCCAAAAAGTATGCACGGTGGCGTTTTTTTATAAGAGACATAAAATGTAGTAAATACTAGAGGGGCCATTTTACGAAAAGAAAATCGGCCTTCAATGGAGGTGGAAAATATTTATACTAAAAATTATTTAGTGTTGGGGGTAATTTTCACCCTTCCCGTACTTTTTCTTGATTTTTGTGAAAGTTAAATGTTAGAGCACTTAACAAAACATAGATACCCAAAAACTTATTCGAATCGTAATAGCCGGTTCTTAAAATATCTGAAAATATGTGCCTAATTTTCTAAAGTTAGATGCCTTCTAGCGGACAAACGAAGCATACTTGTATACTAAGGGCTGGCAAAGGTTAGTCTTGGGTCGAGATTTCCGTATGTAAGAAGCGTACAATGCGTTTATAATGTACTGAACAAAGAGAGGACAGTAAACACGTTGCCAAACATGAAATAAACCGAGAAACTGTGCACATTGCTAAGAGACGTGGAAGGGGATATAGCAGGTTTCTCGCAGTTGACCGGTCGACCCAATCAGTACCTCTGTCAGCAGGTGGATGACACTTCTTATGGGAGAACTGGAAATGGTTGAAAACTTGACTACAAGCGATTTTCTAGGAATCTTCCTTACCGATAAATTATTGACAAGAGTGACAGATAAAACCTTGACATTCTTTCAGTATAACTGTTCATCTCTTTTTCTTTCTAAAGTGTGCGTTGAAAGGAGACAAAAACAATTTTTTGCAACCCATAAATTGTTATTCGAACACCACTTTTCTCCTTGTCGTGTCGTTGACGTTGACTTGTCGCCATTTTATTTCTTTTGTTTATACGCTGCAGTTTGCTTTGTAAATTGAATACATAAATTATTTAGGCAAATATAGGTTTTTGATAAAACTCCTTGGACTAACGTGTAGGTAAGTGTTGATAAATAAGTTTTTTTTCATCTTAACATGCTCATTGTCATTCTCCTGATTTAGGTGACAGAAAAGGATCATCAAATGAAATTGAATTTTATATTTTTTCATCCCAGGACCGATAATAAAATATATATTTTATGGATACCTTCCTAAATATCAACGAGATGAGCCATCGGAAGAAAGGGACCATAGTACAAAACAGAAAGGTGATCTTTTTTCTTTCCACTTAGGATATTGAAATTATTATATACTGTAGTCGTGTTTGGCATTATGCTCTTAGAAATATAGGTAAACAAAGAAGAACAGATATAAAGCATCCCAGAGGAAAAGAGAGGCAATACCTGTACTCTCTCTCTGATATTTGTGAAAGTTACGGCAAAGTATTGTTGTAAATGTCATCTTTTTAATCGACCTGAAAACTTCGAGCAAAAAGATGACACTTTCAACAAAACCCTGACAGATATCAGAGACGATACAGGTTTTTCCTCTCTTTTTCCCTGGAATACTTTTAATTTATTATTCTTTGTTTATCTAGATTTCTCAGAGCACTATGAACGAACTCAGCTTGTATGTTTGAAATAATCGTCCAGTTGGCTTCAAAATGATGATCGATGACATTTCCTATATAATTTTACTTTCAAAATTATGATATATATCGTCATTTCTAAGCCATCTATGACGCCATTTTTTTCAGTTTTGTTATAATTAATTTTGTCTCTTGATCTACTTGTAACATTATTTTTTAATTTTATTAATTTATTGTGGTGAAATTAATTTCTGTTGTATATTTGATATTGATATTAAACATATTTTTAAAAAATGGTGTATTTTTTGTGTTTTTATCTATGTCATAATTAAAAATAAATAAAGAATTAAAATTTTTTATTTTTTTTAAACTTCCCGCCATGCGTGACAATCTAGTCCGTAGTTCCTACAAGCGATATTGGGGGCGCTAGTAGCAGTAGACTTGTCAACAGTGTCAAATTTAAACGTCAATTTCACTTTCCAATATTTAGCAAGGCGCTCGCACTTCTCCTTGTGTATGTGTTTTGTGTCTGTCAGTATCTTAGGAAGTTCAGGGAAAGGTGTACATCATGTGTCCAGCTTCACGATATAATTACGTCTCGTGATACTTTATTTGTTTATTTATCAACGAGTCGTTGTAATTTTCCCTATAACTTGAAAAATTTTAAGTGCAAGTTAGGAACACTTGCATTTTTGGTAAAAATAAGTGGAATTGAGTTGGTGTTCAACAGTGGTCGCGCTATTAGAACTGTGAATTCAAAAATCGATATCTCGAAATCTATTAGAAATAATTGATTGTAGTTTTTTTCAAAAATTTGCTTAATAGTTCTGCTGTATTTTCTTCGTAGATAGTATGTGAAAATCTTTATCAATAAAAAAATTACACGATTGCTGAAAATTACCATGCTCTAAAAGAAAATGGATGGGTTTTTTACAATTTTTTAATGAAAAAAACAATTTAACAACTTAATTATGGAATTTTTCTTACGTAAACATATTGTAAAAGATGCGATCTTCAAAATAAAAAAGTTTTAATATCTAAAGTGGTTCTTGAGTTATGGCGTGTTATGTGTTAAAGAATTAAGTTTTTAAATTATCGCCATTCCTGGCGTTTCTTGTACTTTCTAAAAAATGACACCCTAACGATATCCTTATAACTCCATTTCAGATGCTTAGAAACATGTCTAATGATTATATCTAGGTATCTTTTCGAAAATAAAAGTTTTTGTAAAAATAAGCGGTTTGTGATCGTGATTTTACTTTACTTGATAGAGAAAGGCGTACCGGCAACGCCGCAACAGGACACCGTCGCATTTCTCTCACTCCGACTTAATAAAATCCCTATGCGATTTACTTCCACACATATAAATACCGACCCAAAAGTAACAGTTGCCAGCACGGTAGAGGTAAATTGTGTCTAAGAAACTGAACTTATTTTGATTCCAAAAATATTTAGTAGCTCTATGTCCACGAAATATTGGGACGCTCTGTAGAAAGTGCTTCCTAAAATTCCCTATTGCTTCTTTTTAAATGATCATCATGAAGGTATATAATTAAACACGAATTTCTATAAGTTTCTTCTGGCATAATGACCATGCATAACTAGGGATTGCAAATTTACCGACTTCAATTTATCAGTAAACGATAACTCAAAACCTTGAATTAGCAGTTTACCGGTATTTACCGTTTTTTCTCTATCAAATATTGCATTTTTGTTTTCAGTAATTGGGCAATAACCATAGACATCGACACTCGATACTTAAAGTTGTGCTCTGATTTGTTACCTTAGCATCCCTACATTTTAAAGCAAAATCTGTTATAAACTGGTTTGAATTTTCGCAACTAACTGCTCCACAGCAACTTTTATTGGTTGCAAGTCTTCGATCAAAAATTATAACATGTTTTTTTCAGCAATAATAAAAATTAGTAATATTTAGCCGTGCATAACCTATCTAACGTCCCTATGGGCCTTTCAGCTGCTGCTGTGCGGCACGGGCCAGTACAGCGCCGCCGACCTGCGCGCGCACCACGTACTCAACGGCGACTCCGTGGAGTTCCGCAGGGTGGTGGGCTGGTTCTGGGCCGCCGTGGGCAACTTCACGCAGGAGGAGCTGGCCAGGCTGCTGCAGTTTGTCACGGGGTGTTCGCAGCTGCCCGCGGGCGGTTTCGCGGAGCTGACGCCGAGGTTCCAGATTACGGCTGCGCCTACGTTCGGCAATTTACCGACTGCGCATACGTGGTAAGTTCTAAATAATAGTTTATTATTTAAATTAAAAAAAATATATATAATTTAAAAAGATGTTTTTTTTTATAAATTACCAATGTTACCGTAATATTGGCGGTAATATTACCGATTTGTAAATTACCGGTAATTTTACATCACTAGTCATACCAAAGTTTATGGCACGAATGGTTGTCGTCTCAGCACATTCAGTGATGAGGCGTTCTGGTGTTTCCCTATTTTCCCCACAGAATCTGCATTCGTTGTTGTTTTTGAGCTTCAATCTGCTGAGGTGTTCATGGAGGAGACAGTATTCTGTTAAAAACTCAATGACGATCTGAAGATTGTTCTTACTAAATCAAGGAATATTTTTCATTTTTCTCGGTCGTTAGTCACAAACCAATGGTGCAGATTTTGTTGCATGAATTATTTCTTAATTTTTTTCAAAATACCCTCGTAAGAATACTCATCGGCAAAAGTCTTGCACCCCCCAGATAAATTTATTTCTTTGCATAGCATATTGTTGTGGCTATGTGTACAAATACCTTAATATGTGTCTACAAAAAATAGGTTATAAAAGCAATGAAAGAAAACCTTATCGATGGAATGTGTATGGTTTTGCTATTTGCGGTCAAATTTTGTTTCTCAGTTCGAGTTCAATCTTGTAGTAGTGTTGTGAAAGGCGACAAAAATGCCAGGGCACGAAATTCTGTCTTCGATAGGGCCCGAATTATCGCTTTGTATGACGAAGGTCTCAGCAGGCATCAAATTGCTGATCGTTTATATTTAGTACGAAGTACTGTAAGCCGAATTATACAACAGTATATAGACACCGGAAATGTAAGATCTCGTCCTAGATTGGGCCGTACAAGAATAATGACTGACAGGATCGCTACTTGGCTCAATTTGCCAGAAGAAATCGGTCAGTTCCAATTCGAGAGCTACGATCTCAGTTTCAACGAACTTACCACCGAGTGATATCAAGCCGAACCATTTCCAGGCGACTTTCTAACGCTGGATTGCGACGTAGACGTCCACTGCGAGTCCCTCTATTTACTTTATAGCATAGGCAAATGAGGATACAGTAGGCTAGGGAATACCAGAACTGGTTATTACCTCAGTGGTGAAACGTAATTTTCACTGACGAAACCAGGATAGGTTTGATCAGTGATGACTATCGTCAGCGAGTGTAGAGGGAAGCAGCATCGCTTGCTCCTTATCAAGGAGGAACTGAGATGTTCTGGGGTGGCATCATGTACAATAGGCGAACAGAGCACATTCATATTCCTGAGGTGATGAACGCCCATTTGTATATGGAAACTGTAATCAGACCAATAATTTATCCACTGCGGTGAAGAAATCGGCAATAATTTTATTCTCATGGATGATAACGCTTGTCCTCACAGAGCTAGGATGGTCCAGGAAGCATTACATGAAGGGGAAATAACTCGTCTGGACTGGCCTCCATTCTCCCCCGACATGAATTCTATTGAACATGTCTGGGACTACATCACCAGAGCTGTATTTCGCAGAAATAACCCATTAAGAAATCGCCAGGAGTTGATCATTGCCGCTCAAGAGGAATGGCAGAACTTACCTCAAGAAACCATAAACAACCTTATAGTTGGGATTAGAGATGAGCAGAAAATCGCAAACTGCGATTTAATCGCAGCGATTGTAAATTCGCAATCGCAACCTGTGATTCCTTTCCATAGCAAACTGCGACTTGCGATTGAAACATATATCTGCCGATTTTGGATTTTTAGGCAACCAATATTACAACAGTTGCGATTTGCAATCGCAGTGGGCACGCGAACGAAGAGCTGCGAACGAAAATCACAGCATTGCGATTTTCGTTCGCACCGGCGTTGCATCGACACGGCACTGAGAAGCCGAACGATGAGCTGCGAACGAAAATCGCAATATTGCGATTCTCGTACGCCCCGGCCGGCGGCGGCGCGTCTTCAACATGGCAGTGGACAGGCGAACGAGGAGCCTGAACGAAAATCGCAGCTCATCCCAGCATTGCGATTGCGATTTTCGTTGGCACCGGCGCGGCATCGGGATTGGGCACACCAACGAAGAGCGGCATTGCGATTTTCGTTCGCAGCTCTCAACACATCGGCCTAGACTAGATCTCAAAATCACATTCGCAATCAGGGCCCCGTAATTTTTATGAAGCGTTGGAAAATAGGCTTATATATGTTTATTTACCGCATAATATATATAATTTATTAGTTTTAAATTTTGATAATAGTTTTAGATTTATAATATAATTATGGATTGAGAAGGTTAAAAAATTTTTGTTTTCAGTTATGACTAATTATAGTTACAGTTGCTCCCAGGTAATGATTCAGGTAAAATATATATAAGGACAGTTTTGGATTCAAATTATAAAAAATTATCTATTTTTATCCTTTATTTACTAGAAGATATAGAGCACGGAAAAGAAACAGCCCTTTTTATTTATTATATTTTGTTATATATTATATTATTATAAACATTTTTATAACAATCCATAATATAATATAATTTTCTGAATACCTATACTAACAGTTGTGGATCGGCTGCTATGTTAGTTTAAATACATTCTTTACAATCAGTTTTTTCATTTTAGAGAAATTTTAAATATAATAAAATGTGATATTGTCCTTTTATTTATCTAAAAGTTCGAAAGTTTGCACTTGAACTGGACTTTGACTGGTATCAAAGCCGTCGGCGTCGGCTTCTTTTGAGTTACATATAAAGAAAATGTTTTTAAAAGAAAACAAGATAAAATAAACAGCTTTTTTTCTAGTTATCTGAATTAAGGTTGGCGGCAACCTTTTTTATAATAAATTTTTCGTTAGTATACCTACTGTCTAAAAGCACATTCGAATATTTTGAACATTTTATGTATTTTTAATTTCCCTTTTAAATTTATTCGGTCTGTTCTAATCAAAAATGTTTAAAAAAAGGAAACTAAGTTATTAGTGGATTTTTTTTTTGGTAGGTAATTGATGAAAATTTTAAGTGCAATATGTGTGCAGCAAAAATATCATAAAAAACACGCACTACAAATTTTAAAAGGCACATGGTATCGAAACACCCAACAGTTTCTTTGTAAGTTTTTATTAAAAAAAAATATTCCGCTATTTATTCTGTTTTTTATTAGAAATGTTGGGATTGAGCTTCCCAGATTACAGCGTACCAATTTAAAAATATCAAAATCGCAATCGCAGGTTACAGTCGCAGCGATTTATAAATCACAATCGCAGTTTCAACTGCGATTGGAAAATCGCAGTTTTGCTCATCTCTAGTTGGGATGCCCCGACGGCTTGATGCACTCATAACAAATCGAGGAGGCAATACTTTATATTAGTAACCTTAATTTTGTCAGAATTTATTATTTATTTATTTATTTTCTCTTTTTTATCAAACATTTTTCTGTATGGAATTTACATTTTTTTGTATTTTGGCAAAATATATTATTAAACTTGGTGAAAGTTTTTCCTTTTTTGTGTTATTTTTTAACATAACTTTAGCATCTATTGATTTCCACGAAAAATTAGTTTGAAATGTAATTTTTTTAATAAAATAGTACGGGGGTGCAAGACTTTTGTCGATGAGTTTATATACTTACTTTTATAATATATAATTTTATTTTTAGTTTCAATCAGCTTTGCCTCCCAGACTACGATTCATACGAGCAATTCGAGAAAGCGCTGCTTCTAGCGATCAGCGAAGGAACCGAAGGGTTTGGAATGGTATAGCCTCTAGTTTTGGTTCCGTATATTTTAATTAAACATTTTAAACTAGACGCAACCAATTTAGCCCTACGATTTTTCAAACTGTTATAATCAAAACAAGCATATATTAATCTTAAACTTTTTAAAGACATTTAGTTTTATAGCAATCTTGATAAGTAAATCCGAAGCTTTAAAAACATTTAAGTATATTTAGAGTAATTTAGCGTAAGAATCACAGAACGTTTGGTTTTGCACAAGCAGCAAACGAAAATGGTTAATAGGAAGCAAATAAAATGATTTTTTTCCACAGCAACTGTTAAAATTGCCTTATATGTATCAAAAATAGTAGATAAAATAGTACTTTAACCGCCAGGGTAGATTAAATGCAAAAAAAGCAGTGCAAAGAAATTTAACGACATCTTCTGGGTTTAAAATTTGTGACTTTTTCGATTTGTAACCGCTACATGACTGCTTCAAGAAAGTTATGAGTTTGCTATATCTACAAAGTTTAGATGTTACTATACTACTACGGAAATTTAAACGGTATAGCTTATCCTTAACCTTGAAATATCAATGTTTTCATTGACCAGTATTGTACTTTTTAGCATTGCATATCGCAATAGTACGACCATAAACTGGACGGTTGCATTTTCTTTGATTTTTCAGAAAAATATGCTAAAAGTATGTTTTCACTTGATCTTTCTTCTCGCACGTTTTTTAATTGTTTCCATTTTTTAAAATTTTTGTATTCCTTTTCATAAGTTATTCGGCATTTAAATAGAAGTTGTTTGGATATGGCGTTTGTCTCCTCAGCCTGAATATCTGTTGCTAATTTACTTATTTCGTTTTGAGCCATTTCTGGCTCCAATTCAATCAGCAATCGACACGAAAGAGAATTAAAAAATATTGACTCAAATCTGACAACTAAAGAGACAGCTTTATTTATTTGTCAAATTACATAGAAACCATAGACAAACAAATAAAAAGAGACTGACAAATCTCATGGTAAAGAATGGGACCGCGTTCCCGTAGCGCAACTCAGAATAACAATTTTGAAACCAATTAGCAGGACCATGGCAGGACGTACGTCTTTATTGCTATCTTTCTTTATTATGTGTGCTTTATATGAAATAGAAAGAGATAGGTATAAAACGTATCGCAAGACATTATCGCACATTCTGGCTGGCGGAAATTTTAAATTAGCCATTATTAGTAGCAGATATGATTAGTTGTATTCTTTCATTCTGAAACTGAAAATTTTCACTTAAACTGATTTATTCCCTATACCACGTAAAGGGAACGTGGTGTAGGGAAATCAGTTTAAGTGAAAATTTGCAGTTTCTTTCAGAACGAAAGAATACTACTAGTATAAGGGAAATTATAAAAAAAGCAAAAATTGTACTGTTTTATAAACATATTTATTTATACATAAAAATAAATAAACTTTTTATAATATAATATCAAAAAATAACAGTGTTTATTCCACCAATTTTTACATGCAGAAGAACTGACTGTTGCAGGAAACGATCGGCCAATTTTTTTAAGGGCATTAAAAATCTCATTTTCGAAAAAACTGCCTAATTGCAATAAAAAAGTGAATATTCAAGCAAAGAAGACTTTACGAGAATCATGATCCTGAACCATTTTCAAGACCAGTTTTAATCCTAAAACAAAAGTAAAATAGGTATATTAATAAAGTTTCTGGTTACTATAAACCAGCTATAAACTACCTACCCATAAAATGAAAAAAATTAATTGTATTAATTTGTTATGTTAAGAGAGGTTCGAAATATTTTTGACACTACCTACTACTTCTACTTTTTTCCTTATAAGATGATAAATATAACTACTTACTTTTACCGGGTGTCTTTAACATATCTATCAGAGAAAGGGGGCACCAATACATATAAAAAATAGATGATACTGGCTCCTGCAGCAAATAAAATAAATAGTATAACCTAAAATTATAAGTAACAAAATATAAATACCTATATGGAACAAAGGACTTTGTTCCCTATCCATATTCATAAGTCAATAAAATGGAGAATTTAGAAAAAAAGGTAAATCACCAAAAGAAAAATTAACAAACATGACGAATTGTCATGATGCTGTCATCTTGGTTGTCATGATAACGAAAACGAAAAGCGATTGTTCTAATTTCTATTTAGAAATTACGTTTTATATGACTGCTTCTTTCTCTCTTGTTATATTAGAATGAGATAGTGGGCCCAATAGACGCAATGCGCAGATCAACATAAATAGAACGAAATTTTGCGTTCTGAGTTGCGCTACGGGAACGTTGTCCCTCTCTTTGCCATTTAATTTGCCGATATGTATTATACGATCGAAAAAAAAACGGCGTCAGAGTTGCCTTGAAAATGTTGATCGCTGTTATTTTATATCCCCAAATTATCTGGTTAATGCCATTGTTTTAAAGAACTTAGTCAGAGAGTACTTTAAATTCGATTATTACGTTGCTACCTTGATAAATATTGAATATTTCTCATTTTTATCATGAACATGAAATATTTTTATTTGTATTCACTATTCAAAGTATTGCGTTATTACGTACCAACATAAATAATGCATTGTTATTTGCGTCAATTTTAAATTATATTAAACTATTCTTATAGCCTATTTCAGTATCTGTTCGTTTTTCCTGCAACTATATTATACTATAGATTACTTATGCGTTAGTGGCAATTAAGATGATAAACATTTAATTAGTTTTGTTAATTATACCCCATTAAAACTCGTGTTATTCCGTTTGAGGAATCTTGTTTTTCAGTATATTGTTAGGCGAATATTTTATTAAATACCAGTTAAATTTATTATTGTTTCATAAGTGTTTTTTATTTTTTGTTGGTGTGCTATTTTGCAATCTTTCCTGTAATTACATATACAGGATGTCCCACTAAGAATAGCTCTCGGCTGTATCTCGGAAAGTATTAGCCGTAGGGCTTACGGAAAAAAATATTTATAACTAAAGGGGCTATGAGAAATGACTGGAAATTATTTTCAAGTTTGTAAAATGGCCGCTAGGGGGCGCAACTGCTATGGAAAATAAGAAAATAGCATATTTACAGAATTTTGCCTAGATACTGGGTACTATAAATAATAGCCTCATAATCTTCAGTAAATTTTGGATTTTTTTTGTGAGAGCCATTTTCCCCTATCTACCAAAATAAAGTGGTGGGGGAAGGTTAGATCTGTTTTTATTTGAATATTAATAACTCTGGACTGGATGGTCGGAATCCAACAAGCGAAGGCTCGTTTAAAAGAGCGTTTCTTACTCTATATTGTACCATATAAACAATGATAATAAGCTTTGGAACGTAGACGCTAGGGGGCGTTGTCTTACAATTTAACAAACATTGCGCGTTTTTTCCAAAAAATTAAATGCAATAGTATATGTAATTTTATCTGATAGTAAAGAGTAGTAAAAGCTTAAAAAGTACCGCATCTTGATATCTTCTTTCAAACCGAAGATATTAGCAAAATTATAATAAATACCAAAAAATAAGCCCTTAATTACCTACCTAATTTTTACAACACGGTATCAGTAGCCCTCTTGATTATGCCCATTCTAATAAAAAAATAAGATAGAAACAATTAGTTTATTTTAAAAACGACGAAATACCATAATACCAGATGTGTTAATATCTAATAATTAAGATATTAATAACAGTGACCAAGAAACGATGATTCAGTGAAGTCATGGTAGGCTTTGGAAAAAAGTTGCTTTTGACGTTATAGTATAAATGTCAAATTGTTATTAAATCAACATTTTGATAGTCTTAGCAGCGTTTTTTATCTTTTAATTGCTTTTACAAAATGGCTTTATTATTTGAAGTAGTTGAAGTTGTTGACATTTAGAAAAAGCAATAAAAAGATAAAAGACTATCAACAGCCCTCTAGCGGCCGTTTTACAAACTTGATAATAATTTCCAGCAATTTCTCATAGCCTCTTTAGTTATAAATATTTTTTTTTCCGTAGGCCCTACAGCTAAGCTAATAATTTCCGAGATACAGCCGAGAGCTATTCTTAGTGGTACACCCTGTACAGTATGTCCGAAGAATAACTTATTTTTAAAAAAAGCATTCTTTATAAAAAAATGTTTGTTCTAAAATGAAAGGTTAATCCTGTTTATACTTTTCCAAATTTTCAACCGTTTTAGAAAAAAAATATGAAGATATAGGTGAATTTTTTCCCGAAACTCAAAACGCCTTCCTATGGTAATATTATTTTTAGGTTTTTATTCTTTGATTAAATGGTAATTTTAATTACGGCCATATTTTTCTTGTTTTAATACATTAAATAAGCACAAAATTTATTTAGTGCGATAAGTTGTGTGGTCCTTTAACATTAAAAAAAAAGAAATATATGTCGCTCTCGAATTTGGGACACCTTGTCCACAAATAAATTTAATGAATAATTAGTATACAGTTCATATCAAATAAACTTTTAGTCACGTGATTAAGCTTGACCGGCACGGTGTTTCCCACTTTTGCATACTTTCTTTTAATCAAAATATTTTATTAAACAAAAATAAATCAATTATAAATAAATCGCTTTCCCGTTCAAAATATTCTAATAAAGTTGCGGTGAGTTTTTTACGGCTATTAACCTATCTTGTACACGTAAAAGAGGTTCAAAAAAGAACAATGTTCGACTGCAAGGTCTGCTAGTAAATTTTTAAGATTAAAATATCACAACACAGCTCATTTAAACCAAAAACTCTCAATACAAAACTAAAGTGTCAAAACGAATGACAGTGTCAATAAATAAATAAATAAATATGGCAACTTGACATTTTTTAGAGCAAAGCTACCACCTGAATCTCCAGCGGGATATTTAAATTCCAATTAGTCAGCCCGGCGCCGAATATGTCCATGGTTGGCAACAATGAATTTAAAAATCGCACCCTCGATTACCTAACTAAAAGTTTAATGGGTATCAAGAATATATACCGGATGTTGCTACTTTTAAATATGTATTACACCTGAGAAATTATAAAAACACCATTTTATTTGCTTCCTATTAACTTGATTATTTTATTAGTATTTGTATTAGTTTCATGTATTCTGTATTGTAAATGTGATATTCACAACTTTTGTACTTAACGTTTCAGCATCTCATTTTTTTTATTATTTATACTCATTAAGGTACATATTTCCTTTTTTTAATTATACATAAATCAAGTAATATATTATTAATTTTGCATATGACTCATTCACTTTGATGTTTGTACTAATTATGATCTCGTTATATTATAGGAGTCTTATGCATTTTACTGTGGTATTTTTGAATTACTCTTTTTTTCATAAAAATGAGAAGAGGCCCAAATTTTATCTTTATAAGCCGTTTATGCAGATATATAGGGTGGGTCTCTCATAAGACGTGGGCGCTACAAGGAGAACTACAATGTGTATTGAAATTAAATTTTCGAAAAAATGTAGGTTAATTGAAATATACTGGGTGTTCTATTCGAAATCAGACTACTTTGCCTTTAATCAAATGTTAAACGTTAATTTTGTGTCACCCTGTATAACTTTTCAGATCAAGTTTTAATATGGCTTAAAATTCCGTATGATCAAAAAAAAACGGCGTCCAGTTCGCTGGGAAATGGCGATCGATGACATATGCCATATAAATTGACAGCGATCTTTATTTCATAGCCATCGCTAACGCCGTTTTTTCTCGATCATACGGTACAATGGTTAA